ACACTCTAGATATACTATTACCTAAATCATTATAAAGTAAAAATTAGATGAGACAGTCAATTTTTGAGCCAGCAAATTAAAGTTAAAGTATAGTTTAAAATTTGTAATATTAAATATATCATAATATTTGTATAAATGTAAAAACTTCTCATTAATAGTAAATGTAATTATTTTAAATATAAAAAATATATTATTATTTTTTAAATAAATAAATTAGATAAAATATATATACTTATTGAATAACTTTTCTTTTGAGCCAATAATCTCTCTTTTTCTAAAAAAAAGAAGAAGCTAAGGTTGAAGTTCGTGTATATCTTATTTTTTTCATATTTATTTGTAAAGTTACACTAAATATATTATTATTGACATGTATAGTTTAAAATGTTTTGCGACAATGTCGTATCACATGATATATAATACAAAAATCTAACAAGATAAAGAAGTTGTTTTAGATAAACTCTCGATGCAAAATAAATAAATAAATATATCAATGCAGATCAATTTTCTTGTAATTCATTGCTACAACTTCCCTAATTCTCGTTATTCTCCTGATTTGTATTAAATTTTTGAATTTATTATATGCTTTCTTATCTATTTTTTTATGATTATGAAAATAATTTTAATTAATTATCATATTTGTATATATTGGCAAGCGAAATATATAAATAGAGTTCTGATATAGAATTGGTATATACTTGTCCTATTTATATATTAGCAAACAAAATATACAAACCGCAATCTCTATAGCAAATAAAAGTCGAATTGATTTTCTTGACGAACAATGGAACAAGATAAATAAAATCACAGAAAAGATAAAAATCTTTATGCCCATAATTAGGATGAACATTAACTTCCAAAACTGGTATGGTACATAACCAAGAAAATTAGAGAATCCTATAAGAAAATCATAGTCCATCATGTTTTATGGGTATTGCCTCAATCCCAAGAGAATCATTTCTCTAATAATTATTTAATTCTTACTCTAATAATAGACCCCCAAAAAGTCATTCAATTTAGTAATTAAAAAAAAAGGGTCCTACTTTAAGTGTATATTAGAGAATATACACATTATATATACGTCCAAATCTTGTCTTTTACTGTTGATGAGTAGTAGTAGTCAGTAGTTTTCTTCTCTTCTCTCCCGCTTTTGCTTTACTTTCTGGTTACCCTTTTTTTACTCACTCTCTCTGTTTACTTCAAAGATACAATTTTGTGATGACCCTTTTAAGGAATTGACTAAAACAAAGAGGAAAATTATGGATTGGGAAAAACAGCAGCAGCAGCCACCGGTGTCGGCGCCGCAGCAGACGGCGGAGGAATTGAACGGAACAGTCAGTGGTGGGATGTTTGTGAAAGTGATGACGGATGAGCAAATGGAAGTTTTAAGGAAGCAAATCGCTGTTTATGCTACTATTTGTGAACAGCTTGTTGATTTGCATAAATCCATGGCTTCACAACACGATCTTGCTGGTTCGTCTATTTTTATATTTATATTTGGTCTTGATATCTAATTGGGCCTTTTTTTTTTCTGTTAATTTTATCAATTTTTGTGTCTTTTTTAGCTATGGTTTCTCTATTCTGTTTCTTTTGGTTGATTTTGTCTTTTTTTTTTCCTCTAGGAATTGAAGTTCAAAAACTTGAGAGAAAATAGAAAAATGAAATCATTTCATAATTCTTACCTTTTCTGTTAATTTTGGTAAAAATAAATTCAAATAGTTCTATTCAGCTTAAATGTCTCAAAGATTCAAAGTTTTGTGTTTCCTTTTGGTATAGAATTTCATTGTATTGATTCTCCTTAAGTTTTTGAATTTTTTTACTTTTGGTATAGAATCTCATTTGATTCTTTAGTTTTATTTCTTACTCTACCCATCCAAATATAGTTCCCTCTAGGTTATCTCTCCCACATAATCCTTTGAGAATCCTGTAACGCTATGTGCGGGGTCCGGGGAAGGACCGAACTGTTAGGGTCTATTGTACGTAATTTTACCATGCATTAGCTTGAACCCTTGATCTCCCCGTAACATGACAACAACTTTACTAGTTAGGCGACTTGTAAAAAATGTAGTAGTGAAACTTGCCAGTAACATGGAAGCTGGAAATCTTTCAATCCATGACTGTATGCTGAAATCTTTAATTGATTGCAATGTTCAATGACAGGTGGATTTTGCAGACTTTAGGTTTCATATTTTTATTCGATGAAATCGATTCAAAGGAAACCCAATATAACCTCCTCCTTTTGAGTGGTTCTTCAAATTTTTTGTATATGATAAACGACCATTTCCATGTTTCAAGATACTAGTATTGGTTTCATTCGACTTTAGAGTGAATGATTGTACTGTTAACCATGATGCAAGAAGCTGGAGGACGATAGTTTTCTCAGTTAGACTTATTAATGGTCTTAATTTGTTGTGCTTAACATCCATATGTTCAACTTGATGTGTTTGTAGTGATCGCTAATATTACTTTCTGAATTTGAATTCATCTAATGTGAGCAAAATCTGTACCTGCAACCTCAGGAGCCAGGCTGGGAAATCTGTACTGCGATCCACTGGTGACATCTGCTGGTCATAAAATCACTGGTAGACAACGCTGGACTCCAACACCTATGCAACTTCAGATTCTTGAGCGCATATTTGAACAAGGCAATGGAACTCCAACCAAACAGAAGATCAAAGAGATAACTTCTGAATTATCTCAACATGGCCAAATTTCTGAAACAAATGTGTATAATTGGTTTCAAAATAGGCGTGCTCGATCAAAAAGGAAGCAACAGGTTGCAGCAACAAACAACACTGAATCAGAGGTGGAGACAGAGGTTGAGTCGCCCAATGAAAAGAAAACAAAGCCAGAGGATCTGCAGTCTTCTCACATGCCTACTTCAATGGCTGAAGATCTTGGCTATGAGAACCCTGACGTGAGCTCTGGAATGCATTCACTAGATCCACGAACCAGTAAACCCGAGCCTATGTTTCCATCAGACGGTAGTTCAAAACCTGCTGCAAGTTATGGCCAAATGTCCTTCTATGGAATGTCTAATCCAAGTATGTTTTTCTAGTTCCTATAACATCATTTTGTTTTTACCTCTGTACTGTAGTGCTCTAATATTTAGATATAAATGAAGTTGCTCTTCTGTCAAAATTTCTAAATATGAGCTCCATAGCCAAAATTGTTTCTGGTCTCGAATTCTCAAAATGTCATCGAAAGTGATAGACACACACCAGGTCCAGGTGATGGGAATTTCTGCATATTAGGAATCATAATGAATTATATGTACTTTCTGCTTTCATTCAATGTTTCACGAGGACATCAATAGCATTTGAAGACCTGCATTTTAAACTGCTATGTTTTTGTCAGAAAAACTTACTGTACCTTTAAAACTTCTCATGGAGTTAATGCATCACATTCACAATTGTCACCTTCTCTTGCACAAAAGAATTTGTCTTCAACTAAAACTTAATCCAAACTCGAAGCACCTGTAACAACGATGAGAGAACAGGACTGACAAAATCCATCTTTGGCCAACACCTAGATCAAAACGCAGCTTGAGTTGTTATTCAGGGTTCATATCGTTGATTCTAGGTAGCTGACCTATAATGGTTAGTCCTGTTCTTGATCTTTTTTATGCATTTGAGTGATAAAAATGGACATGCAGGAATGGACCAGCTAATGGGAAAGATGGAAGTGCCTGGGAGCTATCATCCATATATACATGCAGACGACTACAACATGACCGGCTAACTACCAATTTGGAAACTAAGTTTCAGCAAATTAGAATGAGACTAGAAGCCCCAAAACTCTAGCCGGAGTTTTTGATCCTACTGTGCGTTAGCCACTGATTGATGATATTCTATTACAGGATGATTCTGTGTGTGAAAAAATGTACTTATGGACCATGCTTATAGGAACTATATAGTAAATAGTATTTTCATTTTGATTTCTCCATTTGCTCTGTAATTTTTACTTTTGGAATGAAGATTTTGTCAAAACATGATGCAGGGTTGTGCTCTGAATTTCAAAGAAATGTTTCATACAATTCTTTTTTTAAAAGCACATTATAGGAGTTCAAAAAAAAAATAGAAAAAGTTGTTGACTTCTTGGTCCCTTCCCCCTATATCTTACCGACAAATGATCTATGCATTATATAAAAGAGGAAATTGAACATATAAATACAAACTATTCTTTTAACAGAAACCAAAGGAAAAGTTGGAAGGGAAATAATTTTGTAAGCAAAGTTAGTCAGTGCTGTGCTAGTATATCGGTTAAAAGTAAAAAAGTGTAGTAGTGAAAAATACAGTAGCAAATATCTGATGAATTAGTCAAAGTGTACCAAACTAACCTAACACCATCTTTTTTTATAAAGAAAAAGGAACACTCATGAGGAGTTCCATCCTTTAATGACATAATCATGTCATAAAGAATTGCTTAGGATTTGACTTGTGAATAATAATAATAATAAAACTTAGTAAGAAAATCTTTTAGATCAAAATTTTCAGTTTCCTGTAATTACTGAATTAATTTTTCTTTCTCTGCTTGTTGGCATTTGCAATCCATACCACATGCTATGCATAGAGCAATTCAGATTTTCCTTCTTACTGTGTCTAATTTGATTCTAGGAATTACATTCCCTAGGAATGTCAATACTTTAGCCCCCTCTGGAGGCAACTTCATACAATCTAGTTTGGGATACAAAATGTCACAGGTTCAAAAACAAATCATAGAGAAGTGATTTTACATTATCCATCCTTGTCATTCTCTATCAGGTGTCGATAGACACTTTTCAGATGGATAATGCATAATCACGAAGCTATTAATACGTGTTAAGCATGTTGCTAACGATAATTTCTTTTCGAGTACTAAAGAGATCAGTTTCATACAACTCTTCTGCAGCTTGAATTGTGGAAGCATAGCTGGGTTGGGCAGCTGGCTCCACTGTGACAAGGGTGAAGAGGTACTAGAACAAACATGTAAATGGAATTTCCACATCTTCAGGAGATTTATAGTACCATTGTTCCAATATCACTTCATATTGTCTAGCAAAAAGAGAAGGTTAGAATGGGATATACAAATTTAACTATGACAACAGTTGAGTTATGTTACAATCAAATAACCTATTTCATTATCGTCACAAATTTCTTTACAGTCCATTCAGAATGAGTTACTATGGCTATATATTGGAAAGGTATACTAACGAGAGATTTTTGACACTAGGATACGGCTGATCTTAGTCGCTTTGCTGCACGTTCTAGGTTGATTGCATGCCGATGTAATCCATGCCATGCCTCGGAGGAACCCTTACTCCATGAACCTAACTTAGCAATCTGCTCATGCAGAGAGCCCAAGTTGACAAGAGGTACAGTAGTTGGCCGCCCATGAGCACACTAACAAATGAAAAGATATTACAGTCATTAATAATATGGAATTCCTCCTGTAGACATACCACCAAATGCAGTTCTAATACAGATATTTCCTGAAATGCAATTTTCTACTCACTTGAAAACACAATGAAGTCTGCTTCAACTCCTCAACAATGAGAGAACACTCTGAAGGCAACAATGCATCTCCAAACATAATTGCGCCTACAAAAATAAGTAAATAAATAAATAGAACGGCAAATCAGGAATCAATCCATCGATTTTGCTTCACCCCCAGAATTAGTTGGCCTGCTATGCCGATCCTCATTCCTCTGTTCCACTATATCCATATCGGAGATGAAATCGAAGACATCAGAAGTAAAGAGAAATATCTCAAATCTAAGTGATCCTAATTCCCATTTCTCTCTCTTTTTCTTACGTGGGGGTGGGTGGAGGTGAGAGAGCCTTCAAGGTAGCTCCAAATTCATAAATTAAATATTAACTTACTCCTGCAAGCCTTGTTATTCAGGATACGATTCACTGATGGAGGTACTATTGATGATCCATCTGTGTCAGCAAGCTGTGAGTTGCAATCGAATACATTATTTAGAGAACATGACACAGCATTTAAGCAAGAACAGAAGCAAGATTCCACATGAGAACGATTAGAGTTGATTAAATGGAGTGAAATATGAGAGCTAGCTAGTGTCAATGGACTAACCTGTTGAAGAAATTCTAACAGATCCACATCTGTTAGATTAACACCCAGAATACAGGGAACCTGTAGTACCAAGAAAACCATTTTATTGTGAAACACGTGCAAATGTATCTCGTTAGCTAGTGCAGTATTCCCTTAAACACGTGTAAACCTCTATATTGTCTTGTTACTGATGGTATTAGAACAAAAAAGATATTCCCTTTTAGAAGTTACAATTCATATTTCACTAGCTATAATCAACCCAATTAAAACATAAAATGAACCTTAAGAGACAATGCGCACAAATGACCCGTGGAAGCCTAAACCCAAAAATCTTTCTTGCTTTAAACAAGATGGAACACAGGACAGATATAAACTGTTGTATTGATACCTCAGAATGGATTGACAAGACTGAGAAGAAGTGCTTGTGCTTATCATGCTTTGTTTTCCACAATTAGACAGGCATATATACTTCAGAGGAAGGAATAGGAATGCTAAAGTTAATAAGCTATAAAGTGTAGTAAAAGGTTCGAGAATGTTGGTGTGCAATCTCTCACAGCCCTTGTGTATTTACACAATATAACTTAGCTTTATTCCCGATAATTCCTAATCCCAATTCTTGTTTCCTAATAGTTGATGTCACTTCCTAATCCTGTATTAACAACAACAATCAATACTATATATTATCTTTCCCTTCTAAGACTGATTTGCAAATGGTCTACATCTACTTAACTTTCTGAATGTATAATATGACAAAGACAAGTATTAGAGAATGTTACCGCAAGAAGCCTGACAGATGTTTGCTGCTTGTGAATCAGATTCAAGTTCCTGCTTTAACCAAAACATATAACTTCATGCTAGAGTTATGTTCAACCTTAATGAATGTTGCAAAATTTAGTGGAATGAAATTTCTGGTAAGTAGTAATTTTCTCAAGTTCCATAGGCTGGTTGTAAAAAAATCTAAAACAAAAATCCGTAACTTACCTGGTAAATGATTTTGAAGCTTGAGAATGAATGTTGCAGATCCAACCCCAGTTTTGAATTTGGTCAGCATAGTTGTGTAATAATTGATAACCAATTTCAGGCATGACCTGCAAAAGCATGGGCAAAGACTCAAATATCAATGTTAGCGATTATAAATGGTTTCAAGACTTCCCCACAATCCAAGCGGCGCAAGGCAAAGATAAACTCTAAATCACATATGATGACCATAACGTACCAATTCTTGCTCGGAATCAAGATAGGTTGTTGTTCTTTTTTGTCCAGATAGAACCTGATAATTCACTAAGTTACCGACTCCACGTTGAAACGACACATCAATAAGTTTTTAGACAATCATTACCTTCTCACGCAGTTCTTCCAAACGAATTCGCTCGTCTGCAGCATGCTGTAGAATATGACAATGTGCAACACTCAATGAAGATAAATGCTAGAATCAAACAAAAGATCATAATATCTTGACTATGTAAAAAGGGACAGACATTTATTTTGGCATGGGCGCCACAGCTTCTACAAAAGAATATACTCAACCAGACGGTCAGAAAGTGATGAAACAAAGATAAAGCACCCTATATCACTCTCCTTTTCTTCAGTACTATCACTAATTGCAATAGAATACGACATTACATGGTTGAAGTATTAGTCATGCAGGGAATGTTTATGTTGTAATAATAATGTAAAAACTATTATGCGGTGAATAATAATATCGCGATTCTTATGCAGTGAATAATAACCGAGTGATGCTATATAGGGACAATCTACTTTATAAAGGGATTTTTCCCCTGTAAATACTAATATCCATGCATTGTTGACATGTGTTCTCTTAATAATGAATGGTTAAATACCGCCAACCAAACGCTGCATTAGTTATGTCGAGCTTACTTTTTTATCATGCGGATAACTGAGTGATACATGGTTATGTAGATATTACTTTTACTTACATGGCCAACAACTATTATACTATGTACGTAGAAGTTTATGCTGACATCAATATTGGCTAATGAGTCTAACCAAAAGATCCCTAAAATAAACAATTCTAAAGTAAATGCATTATAAGGAAATTCATGAAAAATCAAGAAAGACCATAATGGACCTGATCAATTATAGCAAGTGTTGTGCCGCCCACAATCGGAATAAACTTCTTATCAACCTGTTGGAGTACTTTGGCACCACCCAGGCAGTTTCTATCAATGGTATTAGGAACCAATGAATCACCAAGAAAATGCAATATGCCAGAAGTGACATTGAGTACAGTATCCTGATTCTTACGACTCTTTGTTCCAGCGCCGCTCTGCATCTCATATTGGAAAAGGAAATCTGTCATCTTAACAAATCAGAGAAGAAGTCACAAAAACATTTGAGATATAGCTAAAGTACTCCACTGTAATCTCTGGACAGAAGTCCCTCCATTTTGTCCCAGAATCTAAGATACTTTGAGTTTCTTTTGTTGGTGCAAATTCTGAAAATTCGAATAAAAATGTCAGGCATGACAATTCTATCACAAGATCAGCACATAAGCAATATGGAATCTGAAAGAGACTATGTTGCCTAGGACACTGAGAAAGAGACACTGTAATCTCTAATGCTTTCATGTTTAGTAAGAATGCAGGCTTAGTCTTGAAAAGTAGGTGAAGGAAATCAAGCAAATTAACTGAAACATGCGCTACAAAAATTAAGCTCTTATTCAATACGGGAACTGTTAGAGTGAGGGGTGGGGGTGGGGGGCTAGAGTCCCGCATCAGTTGGAGCATGGATTGGAGGTCTATTTATATGGACTTGGGCAATCCTCCCCTCATGATCTGACTTTTGAGGTTGTGATAGGCCAAGGGCCTTCCTTTACAGGAATAAATGGCAGGAATGGTTTACCTTCTTTTAACTCCCCATAGCGTGTACTTATGCACTCTCCTTGAGTTTGTAATTTGCTATTCCAGATGTCAACAAGTTTCATTTTAACACTTAGCCTGAAGAGAGAAACATCAGGTTGTGTGAGTAACTAACATATTTGATTGAGATAATATCAGAAAGAGACCTAAACCTCCCCAAAAAATTGATATCGTACCTTTCATCAGAATAAACACCATCACCACAACTTGGGGTGGAAGATTGATCACATTGATGGGATGACTGCTGTGGAAGCTCCGAGCAGATAGCTTCTGTAGAATCCCCCAGTCTTCTTACTGCTCTAGTTTCTGCACGATGGGCAAGAACATTAATTAGTTGCACAAATTTTTTGTCATCATTGATTATTAAAACAAACAAGCACTCAAGGACAAATTACCTGGCATGAGTGGCACATCATGAACAGTCTTAATAATGTTATTTCCTGCTGCCGTTTTTGAAGACTCGCTCGTGGCAAAAAACTTCTTCTTGCCTTGATAAAATGGAGGAGCTGAATGACTTCTACTCTTCTTCCTTATAAGCTTATCTGTGTTACCTCGACTCCCAGCATCATTCCATTTATGCGAATTCCCATCCACCCAAGAGGAGAGCATAGCTCGTGGTGTCAAACAATTAGTAAGATTTTCACCATGAGAATGTGTATGTGACAAATCATCTCCATCATAATAGGATTCAGAAGGACCTGAACTATAAATGTCCCACGGATCAAGTCCCCCTATACAGCCCAAATCCTCTTTAGAACAAGCATAAAAATCAAGATCAAACTTTGCAGGATTTGAAAACAAGCAGTCCTCTTTTCCCATATTATTTATGGCTGGAACCAAGAGATTACATTGCATGTTTCCAGAATTATACGTGACACCAACTTCATGTTTAACAGAAGTTTCAAGCTCATTTTCAGAGATGTAAGGATTAACATCTAGAGATCTGCTCCCGAGCAAGGGATATGCTGGCAGAGGAGATAGTTCTGGACTAAAAGATGGTAGGCCAGAACGATAGTTTTCAGTCTGTTTAAAGAAGTCCATAAGATGATCATCTTCATCTAGAATGTCCTTGGTTAAAGAAGACTTTTCTGAATCACCTGAAATTTTTTTTGTCCGCTGCAATGCCCTGCTCTGTGTTTTGCACCTGGAGAACTTCTCAAAATATATTTCCTTGCCTCTAGTAGGCCTTTGATGTAAGACCCGGTTAACATCATGAACAACTTCAAATTCAACACTATAATCATCTTCAAGGCGATTTTGTTTAGTTCTGCAGTCACTTTTTCCAAACTTAACGTCTTCATCACTATCAAAAGATGTTCCATCATGTATCAGGCTTCTGCGCAAAGAACAGCTACGCATGAATGGTTTCCTTCTCTCATGCATCATATTTGAACTGTCAATAAGTTCAAGAGACTCCTTAAATGAGGCATCCTCTGTTGATTTGCCAACTAAAATTGTTTGAGACTCGTTCTCCCATCCTGAACCTAGCAGGCAGTCTGATTTATAACTGGAGGTAGCTGAAGCACTGAATTTGTTATCCAGGAAATAATTCTCTGTAGGTGAAACATTAGATGAAAGGGGTTGCACAGAGCATCTGGATTTCCAGTTTACACCAACTGTGCAATGAGCAAGAGATCCATCAACTAACCGACTTGGACTTTCAATCTGACAGAGGAACCCGGGCCCAGGATCAGGTTTCGCAGAAGCACTTTCCCACAGAGTATTCTGCGGAGATTGAATATCTCTCCTGACAGTGCACTCTCTGATCTGTTTCTTTGGCAGCGGGGAAAGAAGTTCAAGTGTATCTTTGCAACTCTGAGCCCTGCACCTCTTTTTCCTGATCTCATGATTCACAGGTATATCTGGAAAAAGGAGCAGGGAATAGGGTAGCAATAGATGAGGATACTTCTATAGCTATATTCTTATCTAGGTTTCCTAAAAGTAGTTTAAGAGAAAAGAAACAGATAAAAACTAAACGATGACACAATGCTGAAATGCTTTGCACCATCTGATGCACAAGTAACTCTCTCTTCCACTAAAACCAACCTTCCACAATCCCCCTCCTCCCCCTTTCTTTTAGGGGGAGCAGGTGAGGGGCTACAGCCTACGGGAAAGGGACTGTGAAGTGGACAAAGCCACATGTACAAATAATATCAGATACAATGAATACTAAGTGATGTTGCATAAAAATCTCACCAGCAGAGTTACTTTCAGTCCAGAGATTCGCAACAGTATCCTCAATAAAGAGAAGGACAGGGCCCCAATCCTACAAGTAGCATTAAGAACCAATTAGTTACCATAAGAGATTCTCGTAAAACACATTAAAATAGCTTAATGAGATAAACACAATCAGTATCAATGGTGCCAACAGAGGGAGATCAACACAAAATCAGTATCATGGTGCCATCAATGAGATTAATACAATCAGTTAAATGCTGCACATTGTTTCAGGCAATTTGATTGCACATCTAACATGGAACAAAAATGAACAAGTGACATGCTCTAATAGACAAACAAGAACCACACCTCGCCTCTCCCCCCATCCCCTTCTTGTCTTTTTGTGGTGATAAGTCAAATCACTCCTGATAACCTACATATGGTACAAAGAGGAATATCATACTCCTCTGTTGACTCAAGACAATCTCAATAGGAAAGATTTCCAATTAGTAAACAGGTGCTATATGTTCGGAAAAGAGGGGAACTGTAAACCATTTGTTATTGCACTGCACAGTAGCCACAGATCTTTGAGCATGTTCATTGAAGAGGCACATCTGAAGGAGCTTGTGCAGAGTTGATAAAGCCAATAAAAGGATTTGGAGGACGATCCCTGCTGCTATCTTCTGATCCACAGGGAATGAGAGGAATAGGAGGTTGTTTTGATGGAATCTCAAAAAACTTCCTGTTTTTTATTGCTATTAGCAAGAGCAATTGTGTTTACACTTGATAATCCAATGAAGAGGGGAATTCCAATGTGTTCAAAGTGTATTGAGTATGGAGACTGCTGAGACAGTCAACCACTTATTTCTACATTGCAAGTTCATAGGCAGGTTATGGAGTATTATCTTTAACCTCAAAAGCCTAACATGTGTCATGCCAGGCAAGGTTTCTGAAGTTCTGAGAAGCTGGGATGATGTAGGAGTAATAGCTAATAATAGGTGTAGGTGGTAGGAGTAATAGCTAATAATAGGCGAAGGTGGTAGGAGTAATAGCTAATAATAGGCGTAGGTGGAAACTCATCCCAGCAGGCATCTGGTGAGTGGCGGCTAGTGTGCAAGGATAGGAACACCAGATGCTATGAAGGTGTAGAAAATGAAGTTCAGAAGATCAAGCTCAACTTTACCTCACTGCTCTGTTTTTGGTGTAACTAGTTATACTCTAATGAGTCTATGTCTATTATTGATGAGCTTGATTCAATACAGGTAGATATAGAAGCAATATATAGTCCCTTATGTAAATATGATTTCAGTACCATCTAACTAAGTACTGTTCTGGATCTAATACAAGTTACTGTTTATAAAAAAATCACTCCCTCAAAACAAAGTGCTCACTGAATCTTTTTTGCTGGACTAATATGACTACTGTAATTAGCACTAAATAGTTGTTTGATTTTGTTAGCTCACTTGTCTTAGATTGACACTGAAAAGGGATTCATTAGTTTCTTTTGTTAGTGCTTTTCCATTCATTGTAACTATGCATCTACTTGATGCTCTTCAATGAATGGAACATCTTAATTTTAGAAAAAAATATAAAAAATCTGAGCTGGTGACAACCAGCATTTCTGAAAAAATAACATAACATCGAAGTCGATGTAATCAGACAATGTAATCAGTTGAAACAAAATACAGTAATCCTAAAAAGTGCAATAGTTCTCAAGTTTGATCTAGTCCATAGTCTGCAGTTGAAAACTAAGAGGAACCAAATGCAGTCCTCTGCTTACAAGTGCTCCCACTTCCCTACACTCACCAAGCAAAAATAAGAAATTCTGTCGATTCCTCAGTGCCTATTCTAGTTTTCCCTTCATACTCTCATTCTAATTAATGATTTCTAGTATTTACTAAAACTGTTAGAACGTTGGAGTAGTTTAAAGTGTTCAAATGGAGCAGGTTCCTCCTAAGATGTGGACTATATCTCATACAAGACCGTACTGACAGGCAACCTAAGCCAATACTGACAACTAGCCTTACTCCTCTCCGATAATCCTCCCTCCAAAGACAGACACCGTCTACAATCGATGCCCTTCCCTATTCAGTATCACATCTCTTTTGGGATAGAAGTGAGAACAAGCCTCTTTTTGGCAACTGACTAAGAAGACCTCCTTTTAACGATGGTTCCAGAGGTATCATGACACTCTCAACAACCATTCTAATAAAGTCTTGCCTCCTTTCATATAACTTTCTGACAGACATGTCCTTGTTAACATCAGCCTGCTTGGTTTTGCAACCACAAGAAGCCCGATAATTTTGTTCTCCATATACAACTGTGACGCAAGGACCTTGCTGGGTCAGGGAGTCCTTTTTAATACTTAGAATCTCTATAGGATAAGTGATAAATAGTGATGATTAGCCAGTTCAACCTACTAAGTTCTACAAAATAAACACTTAACACAAACTCAATTCTTATAAAATAAATCCAAAGCCTCACATTTGTTTCCCAACCCCAAAACAAATTAAACCATAAATCACAACAAAAAATCTCACCTTAAATTCCACAGAGGTCTTTGAAGGCTCCAAAGTAAAATCATAAAAAGATCTTGGACAGTTTAGGTTCAGCATAAACAGAGGATATATCTGAGATCTACTTCGCTTCTCAATGTCAGAAGCTCTGTCAAAACTCATAGCTGTGTTATTAAGTAATTTATGTATTGGTCCTTTGGAAACAAATCTTGAATTGATATCTGCATTACGAAGGTCAAGGAAAACAAGAACACCGTACAAACAGGCAAATGTTAACCAAAGATTAGTCTTCCGTTTTTCTTTGGTCAGGAAAATATACTGAAATAAGTGGATACAGAAATATTGAAGGACCTGCAAAATGAGCAGTGGTTGTTAGGGAAACAGAATGTAGAAAAGATAACTTATCACACCTCTTATTCATCAATTTGGGCCTGTATACCTTCACTGTGTAAACATCAGGATCTGAAATGTATCCTGAGAGCTTGAATGAACCATCACTTGCATTCAATTTGTTAAGGGAACTCAGATGAATTCCAAACTCACTGGACAATAGCGGCAATGGAGAAGGAGAAGCACGAGTGCAAAGCAGGTCATCCTCACTGCATGCAAATGCACAAAATCTAAAAAACCAGACGGAAAATATCCTAACTTAAGTTAGCTGATATAATAAAGACAGACCTTTCAATATCAACAATTTTAAAGGAGACACTGGGATGAACAAGGGCGATTCTTAGCAGAGACTCTTTCAGAGCATGCAACACCTTCTTTGGGCTTCCAGATTATATATGTAAACCAAAAGATCAATCAGGTCGGTCAGTGTACAGCTTTAAAAGAGAAGTATGTAATCATTATTTTTCATTTGTTTGAATAGTGAGAGAACTAGAAGTACTTGGAGTGCATTTGCTTCCTTCGAACTGGTTGGTTGTAAAATACATCACGAACAATGACTGAAAAGAGAAAAATCCCAACAAATTTCCTTATTGGCAAACAACAGTCAACTTTGGTATCAGGTAGGCTATATACAAAATTACCTGTTGTACCAACATCTTGTCTACAATCGTCAATTCCAAGGTACAAACACTTGCCTCCCTGTAAACATTGGCGAGAACAAAGATCGAATTAGTAGTTTTATACCTATACTATAGGATACTACCAACTAAATCTTAAAAGACTCTTACCTTCAAAACTTTCCGATATCCATTTGGCCTCCCATGAGTTTTAGTAACAATTTCCAACAAAGAAAAGTCAGAAATAGAGCTCAGAGCCTCTCCTTTAAAGCCAAAGCTTGCTGGGAAAGCATGCATATCATCTGAATGGCTGTATTTTGACGTCGCTGGTGCACATATATGGTGAATGCCCAGATTACAACTAGTAGAAAGCACCTCGAATAAATACAGAACAAAACCATCCTACATTTCTAATTCAGACTCAAAGACAGTTGGCTCTAATTTTAACAAATGCAACATAAAACTATCCTGCATTCGGCTACCAGAAAAGGGGGTTTAGGTGAGGGACAATGTTAATTGAATCATTAGGTCATTGTTTGAGTTACCTGGGCAGATTTGATGGCCAAAACTGTTAAAATGGCCCAAAAAAATTGAAGCATGACAGAAGATGAAAGAAACAGGCACATACACTGTATCCATAAGCTGGGCTTAAAGTACCTAAGCACCAATATGTATGTCCGGTTCAATTTCAGCAAGAATAAATAATTAAAACATCTCTACATACAGATCAACAAAAATATATTTCATGTCTCTCTCTCTTTCCCCATCCCTCAAGCTACCCATTTTCTTTTGGGGAGACGGTAAAGGTAAAGAAAGTACTAAATTGCAAATGAAGAACCAGGAAAGCAATGTACATGAACAACTTACAATACAAGCAAAACCAAAATGTAAGCATCAATATTTGGTGTTGTGTACGGCCATACAAGTTTGCCCATTAACAAGTAAAACCACATGGCAATAAATAAAAGAACATCTGGTAAAAGCTACTAATGAACAAAAACCGTCAAACAGCCTATCAGTTGAGCAATGCATGCAATCCTATAGACTACAACAATCATTCCAAGTTATGAACATCATAGTTGACAGGCAAAATAAATTATGTACCGGAGCATCACTACAATAGAAAAGATGATGTCAGTCCAACATTTTGCAAAAAGATTACCATATTTTTCTCCCATCAGCACCAGTCCATCTCGTGAAACACCAGATCCTTCAAGAGGAAGTAATACTTCAGATGATGAAATAAATAATAAATTGAGTAGAACTTTCTTCACATCAATGGTAAGAAACTTAAACTTACCATTGTCATCCACCTTAACGTAGCAGGTCTCAATGCCTACAGCAACAGATACCTGGTGGGAAACTGGGTTAGGTTCAACTTAGAAGTACACTAGTTAGAATAACAAACATAAAAAGAACAACCCTATAAGGAAGCAAATCTCATGGTAAAAAGAAATAGAGTTGTTATTTATATACATTTGGGAAAAAAATTATAATACCAAAATGGAACATCATACAAGAGAAAATGTACATCAATTCTCATACAAAGCATATGCCTCAATATCAGAAGTAGCAAAAGAAGGAACATAAGAATTCATTGAAGAGTTTGAGCAAATAGTCTAAGCAATTCAATTGCATAATAGCACCACTTTCCATATTCTCAGCAGCTCACCTCTATTGATCCGCAAAACCTTGACAAAATCAGAGAACATATAATTCCCTATTAGCTTACATGGCACAATTTCAACTTTTAAGAAACAATCAAAATCAAAAAGTCTATAGACAATGTAAATGAACTGGACAATGAGAGAGTTCACGAAAGTCTGTCAAATCGAGTATCTTCCATTCAAAATACTATAAATCAAAATTTCTTGTAATTAAACTAAAAAAAATAATTCAAGTTCTTTGAGTGGGCCTTCAAGAATAACTCCACTACGTTCCATTCAATACCTAATAAAATCGTAAGGGTACATAAGTACCTTGGCAGCACCAGCATCGAGGCTGTTGAAAACCAACTCCTCAACAACCCTTGAGAAATCATACAAGATAACGCCCGACCGAATTGAGCTCCAAATATTCTCGGGCATTCGCTTAATGCTCCCCATCTCCCTAAAAAAGTAAAAACAAATTCTTAAAATATCCTAAGTATACAAGAATGAGAACACAATTCTTATTAAAAAGAAATAGATATCTTGAATTTCTCGATACTTACAATACCAATATATTCTGGAAAACAGATTTCCTTGAATTTTTCTTAAAAGAGAATACATGCAAAAAATTTAAAGAAAATCTGACAATAGCGAGTTCTCAAATTTTCCTTCTTTTTTTTATGGGAAAATTGAATCAGAAATCGTCAATACAAGAGAACCCCTGACCGAACTAAACTCCAAATAGCTTCTGCATTCCCATCTCAGTACTCAAATTCTTGAACATTGGCTGCAAGAATATTAACACATGCATTCAAGAATGCCACTTTTACTTCCAAAAGACAACAATTTCTTTTGATTTTCTCAAAATATGAATCAAAGATAACCAACTTAACTTCAAATACACAACAATTTCCTTAGAATATGCATTTTAAAAAGCCATTAAGTTCTTGATTTTTTCTTAAATCAAGAATGCCGAGATAATCTAGTTCCTAAATTTTCTGAATACGAAGATAATGGGAAGAGCAATTTACTTGGGCAGATTGATTTTAGGGTTTATGGGTTCTGGTCGGGCATCGTCGCCGGGAAAGTTAATAGCAGAAATCCGGTGGTGACTTCTTTTGCTTCTCTAATTTGACGGATGTGACTTCTTAATTAAGCAGCGTCTATTTTATAGGCTTTGAAGGATGGTGGCTTCTAACTTACGCAGTGTCTACGTCTAACTTACGCAGTATCTTTTATGGTAATTTTTAATCGGTGAAAAATAAAAAACGCGGAAAAGAACTACTTAATATAAAATATAGTATTTTTTATAAATTTTTATTCTAGTACTTCTTGGACATTTATTTATCTATTTATTGTTTTTAAAAATAAAAGGAATTAATCTATTATGTGAAATTTATTATTATGGTATATAACTTAGTTATGAGATTATAAATTATTTTTTATACATATTAAATTAAGTTTTATAAAATTAAACATAGAATTTAGCCTAAATTAACTATATTTGACATAGCCGTCAATAATACATCTATCTATAATAATGACTATAATTTCACCTTAAATTTTTTAAATATTTAATAGAAAAAATGTTGGATATACCCCTCAATTTTATCATTTGGAGCTGATATACCTTCGTTGTAAAAATGACTCATCTATGCCATTACCTAAAGCTGATAAAGGCTAAATGAGACCATTAGAAAAACAACATCATGAAATAAATTTCACAAAAATATGTGCATTATATATGTGCATTATACTTGATCCTAAATTGATCTTTCATTCCCGTAAGTTAATTAGGAAATTTATAACCCTGATAACTAGGCGAAAATAATATAAATATATGACTTGGATATTTGAAATATGAAACAAAACTAAACAAGGGAAAATGTTTTTTTTTTCCTTTCTAAGTTTCATGAATATTAACTCTTTTTAAATTTGGAGAAAAAGGACAAAATTCTCTTGAACCAACACAATTGTACAAAAAATTAAGGTCCAAAAAAACCTCAAATGTACAAATTTAATCATCTCACGAGTTAACAAATGAAAAAAAAAATGCAGTTCCAACACAGATATTTCTTGAAATGCAATTTTCAAAACACAATGAAGTCTCTGCTTCAACGAAAAATAATTAAATAAATAGATCAGCAACCTGCTTCACCCCAAAAATCAGTTTGGCCTGTTGTATTGATCCAACACAAATTTCAGTAGAATATGATATAAGAGGGAGGAATATGAATGTCAAAGAGAATAAGCTATAAAGTGTATTAAAAGGTTTGAGAAAGTAGGCGAGCAACTAGTGCTGTATTAATACTACGATACGTTTCCCTTCTAAGACTGATTGGCAAATGGTTTACATGTACTTTCACATTTTGAATATATAATACGACAGAGACAAGTATAAGAGAATGTTACGGCAAGAAGTGTGACAGATGTTGGCTTTAACCAAAACATATAACTTCATGCTCAGAGTTACATTTTAACTTTGATGAAATGTTGCAAAATTTAATGCAATGGAATTACGAGTACATGGCAATTTTTTCATGTTTCACAAACTGATAAATGATCTTGAAGCTTGAGAATGAATGTTGCAGATCCATTTTGTCACATCAAGTGGATCAAAGTCAAAATCTTTCTTCATGGTCTGAATAAAGAGCTCGAATTCAGGATAATTTCTAATGGTACCCCAAGACGAGGAAAGAAGAAAAAAGGAAACATACAAGCAGTCAGAATATTGAAAAGACAATTCACCTCAATGGTATATTGACATCATAAGAGAAGTACAGACCAAGAGTCCCCTCTATGACATTAAGCAGAGCCGAAACCTGACTTCCATATTTTTCAGTCAAAAGCCAAATCATTATTATAGGAACAATTATGGAAGACACAGCATGAGATTTAAAAAAATAGGGTAGGAAATTAAATAGGAAACTGGAGACCTACCATTTCACTAGTAGAGTTCTTGAGAGACTGGTCGCAAGGATAAAATTTCATCGATGAAACTTTGAAGATAGGGTGCCCGAAGTAAGATCAAACACATTCACGGTCTCTTATGACCAGTACATATGAACCTCAAGGCAAAAGCAACACCCACTAGATCAGAGCAAGCTTTGATTGATACCTATCAAAAGGTCAAATGCTCAGAAATTACAACAATTGCTGAAGTACATGCATGCATATTACAAAAACATGACATTTACAACAAAAACTGACCAATGTCATTCAAAACTATGTTTGGCATTTCTCATATCACTTACAAAACAACAGAAACTGACCAAGATCATTTAAGACTATGTTTAACAACCCTTACAAAAGATAAATTTACAAACAAAGACAAATATACTAACTCCAGTTTGAAACTAAAGTTAGTTTATTTATTTTTGTTTGTAAATTTATCTTTTGCCTAACTTCAGACCAAACATAATCTTAAATGACCTTGTTCAATTTTTGTTGTTTTGTAAATGATATAAGCAACTATGAACATAGTCTTGAATGATCTTGGTCAGATTTTGTTGTAAAATTCATTTTTTTGTGATATGAGTGCATCTAATTTCTGAACATTTGGCCGTTTGATAGGTATTAATCAAAGAAAACATGCAACATACAAGCAGTCAAAAGGTTGGAAAGACAACTCACCTCAGTGTTATATTGTGCATAAAACTGAGCCACCATGTTAAAATGGCCAGAAAAAATGAAGCATGACAAAAGATGAAAGAAACAGACACAAATATTGTATCCATAAGCTAGCCTTAAAGTACCTTAGCACCAATATTGATGTTCCCGCTCAACTTCAGCAAGAATAAATAATCAAAGCATCTCTACATACAATAGTGATCAACAAAAACATATTTCATGTCTCTCTCCACCCACCTCCCTCAAGCTACCCTTTTTCTTTTGGGGAGACGGTTAAGGTAAAGAAAGTATTTATTGCAAATGAAGCACCAGGAAGGCAATGTACATGCAACTTACAATACAAGTAAAACCAAAATGTAAGCATCAATATTTGGTGTTGTGTACAGCCATACAAGTTAGCCCATTTACAAGTAAAACCACATAACAATAAATAAAAGAACATCTGTAAAAAGATACTAATGAACGCAGACCGTCAAACAGCCTCGCAGTTGAGTAATGCATGCAAGCAATCCTATAGATTACAACTATCATTCCAAGTTATGAACATCAAAGCTGTCAGGCAAAAGAAAGTACGTAACAATAGCATCGCTACAATAGAAAAGATGATGTCAGTCCAACATTTTGCAAAAAGATTACCATGTTTCTCTCCCATCAGCACCAGTCCATCTCGTGAAACACCCACCAGATCCTTCAAGAGAAAGTACAACTTCGGATGAATTAAATAATAAATTGATTAGATCAATGTCAAATAAACTTAAACTTACCATTGTCATCCACCTTAACATAGCAGGTCGTAATGTCTATAGCAACAGATACCTGGCGGAAACTAGGTTAGGTTCAAAATAGGAGTACACTAGTTAAAAAAAATAACAAACATAAAAATAACAGCCCTATAGGGAAAACAAATCTCATGGCAAAAAGATATAAGTTGTCATATATATTCATATGAATAAGAAAAAGTTATAATACTAGAATGGAACATCATACTAAGAGGAGAAAATGTATATCAATTTTGGTATAAAACATATGCCCTCAATATCAGAAGTAACAAATGAAGGAACATAAGAACTCACTGAAGAGTTTGAGCAACTAGTCTAAGTGATTAAATTGCATAACAGCAAGACTTGCCATTTCCTCAGCAGCTCGCCTCTATTTTATATTCGGTGGAAGGCAGGCTGAAACTCAAACTTGGAATACGAATGAGATCAAAAAGGCCATCTCAAATAACAAAATCAGAGAACATATAATTCCCATTCTCTAAGAAACAATCAAAATCATTAGTCTAGACGATACATATAGAGAATGACAACACAATTCTTCTAAAAAAAAATAGATTTCTTGAATTTCCTTGACAACACAATATATTCTTGAAAACAACAGTTTCTTTTATTTCATATGCACCTAAGAATAACAATGTAACTTCAGAAAGCAAGTTCTTGAAAACAATGCATGCAAAAATCTTATTTTTTTGATCGGAAAATTGATCAGACCCTGACCGAACTGCGCTCCAAATAGCCTCACACTTTCGCTTAAAACATGTATTACAAAATAATCTAAGAATACCTTAAAACACGCATCTTAAAAAACCAACAAGTTCTTGGTTTTTTTCTTAAATCAAGAACCCGAGATAATGGGCAGATTGATCGGCGGCGAAAGTTGATTTAGGGTTTATGGGAATCGTCGCCGGAAGAGTTAGTAGCAGCAAAAATTGTGGCTTCTAAATTACGTAGTGTCATTTTTATAGTTTTTAAAAAGATGGTGGCTTCTAACTTACGCAGTGTCTTTTTTATAGCTGTGGCTTCTAACTTACGCAGTATATACGCGGGTAAAAATAGTACACGCGGGAAAAAACAAATTGTTTTTTTAAGATTTTTATTATACTAGTATTTGTACCTTATTTATTTTTTATATTAATTTAAAATAAGAAGAGTGTAATCTATTAATAATAATAATAATAATAATGTGAAATTTGTCATCATCGCATATAACTTCAATTATTTAACTTGTCTAATTTTTATAGGTTGATTCGGAATGAGATTATAAATTAATATTTTACATCAAATTAAAAATTTTAAAAATCAAATATAAAATTTAGCCTAAAGTAACTATATTAGAATTTAGATATTTGCAATTGAATGGTAGATCTATAATCTCATTTAAACTTTTTAAATATTTAATCTTACTTTATTCAATTTACATATTTATAAAATTATTATTTTTACATTTTGTAACATTTAATCACTGAAATAGAGACTTTCTAATTATCTTTGTCGATCACATTCTTTTTTATTTAGTGATTACTTATAACAGATAATCTCATTTAAACTTTTCAAATATTTGATATTGCTTTATTTAACTTGCATATTTATAATATTATAATTTTTACATATTATTAATTTTAACTAACATTTAATCACGGAAGTAAACACTTTCTTATTATTATTTTTCTTTAGACTTTTGATCTTAGCACCTACAAATTACGTTCAATGGCAGACTTAGGAGGTAGGGGTTTATCCCCCACTCCCCCGGCAAGAAGATTGTATAAAATATTTTTTAGATTTTTCATTTATCATCATTATATTGATCTTAAACCTCGTGAGATTAGTAGTTCAAAACTCAACTTGAGGCTTCAAGTTTAAATTTTTGGAACCACTTTTTTTTTAACCTCTTTAATGAAAATTTTGAATCCACCATTGATTACGTAAACCTATATAAATTATGTAAACCTTAATTCAAAGTTTTAATGAACATCGTACAATTTCTTGAAATACCTCTATTATTACCTAATGGATCAAAAATAAAGAGGGTCAGAGGGCGGAACATACAAATTTAATCATCTCAACAGTTTAAATGAATGATAACCTTTCACATGACAAGCTTTTATTTCTAATAAGTTACGTAATACAATTTCTTTTTATATTCAGAAAAAAGGGCAAAAATGCTCTTGAAATTCGCCAATCTAAGCAAAAATATCTTACATTAATAATTTAATCCAAAAATGTCTCTACCGTCAATAATTTAGTCCATATATACCTCTATTATTACTTAATAGGTCAAAAATAAAGAGGTTAGTATAACGCATAAATTTACCAATCTAAACAGTTGAAAGATGTAACAACTATTTCATTGCATTCTATACATCGGCTATGGAAACTGTACAATGCGTTCCATATAAATCAGTATAGATATCTTGTGCTTCAAATACATATTATCTTCGCGTAAATATCTCATAACATCACTTAATTATGAGAAGTTGTGTAACAAAGTCATTCAACTTCAATTTGTTTCAATAAGATCACTCAACTTATAGCTTAAATAACTTTGTTTCAATAAAATCACTCAATTTAGAGCTTAAATAACTTTGTTAAACAATTTGTCAAAGTTGAGAGACCTTTAGAGTTATTTACTCCAAATCTTCTCATGCGGAGAATCAAAGTTGACAAGAGGGACAGAAGTCTGTCGCCCATAATGATATGAAACTAGTGAAACTATTCGCGCTTCGCGCGATTATATGAAATATTTATAAGATAATAATATGAAATATATAATATTTAGGTTAGTATCGAATATATAGATAATATTTATATTTCTCCTCGTCTGCGATATTATAGACTTTTTAAAAACATATAAAATATATTTATTTGTTTAGTATATGTATATATTAGAACAAAATATTCACCGTGGTGAAGTAAATGGAATAAGGGATAATATCTTGAAATAACAATATATTGGAATTAGGTTGAAAATATTTTAGATGTTTTAATTTTCTCTATCTTTTCTAGGAGTAGTGATGTTCTATCTAAACTCTGATTTCGTCAAATAAAATTATTTTCTTTTATTTTATTATTACATTTGCTTATTATAATTTTTTAAACATTATTTAAATACTTGTAAGATTTTCGAAAAATGAAGCATATAAAGTCATGATTCATATTTAATATTAAACTTTACAAGTAAGATGAAGAGACATGAATTATAAATAATTCAAATGTATAATTTTATTAGCCACTAAATGTATTACTAATTATGTATTGATTTTATTTGTAAAATAAAAAAATAAAAAAAAGGTGTGAAAATACAAAAAATGAACAGAGAAAATATAATAATTGGTGACTACATAAAAATTATAAATACATTTCAAAGCAAATAGAACGACGACAGATTGTTACATACGCAAAAAATGACATCATGAAAATAATAATATATTTTTCAATTACTTTTTATAATTTATAATAAAAGTGAAACTAATCATCATAAATTTTGTTGTTGTTAAAATGAAATAATTATATTTATTTTTTTTTCATAACAAAGAGAAAATAGAATACTAAAGGATCAAATGATTAGTATTGACAATATAATACATTTAGCTAAATTATTTACATAAATTAAAACTTTAAAAACTCTAGCAAACGCAATTAAGTTGCTAATAAATTTTAAAGTGAAAAAATAATCTCTAATTATGCTTAATTTTTTTTCCTAGTACCATCTTCCTTTGCAAAGAGATCCGTCATCATGTTTTGATCCATATGCCAAACTCTTCATATATGCAACCAACTGAATAAAAAAAAAGCATATACGAATTAAAAATAATTATGTCAAAAAAAAAGAACGAAATATAAATCATATTTAATATATTTATATATTATCTTTTCAATAGTAATAACAATACTAAATAATAATTATTTTTTGAAATCTAACAAATATTATAATCAAACTATATTATATATGGAAAACTAACTATAAAAAAAGTAATTGCATACGGACAAAAAATTGTTAAGAATTAAAGAGATTTTTTTAATCATACTTACTTGATAAATTATAATACAAACATAAAAATATATATATTAAGTAAGCATGTCTAAGTCCATAAAAATAAAAAGAAAGACTTAAGAATGAAATATATCTTACCTTCATATACTTTTTTTTTTTGTTACATGTTAGCTAATTCACAAACAAGTATTATGGAGAAGAGAAATTATAACTTTGTATGTGAATCTTCATGAAAATAAATATGAATCTATGTAGACAAAATAAAGGAAATGAAAAAAAATAAGGACTTGAGAATGATATATTGATTAACTTCATGTACTTTTTTTTTTGGTTACATGTTAGTTTCCTTCACAAATCAAATACGAATTTATAGAAAAAAATAGATGAAATAAAAAATAAAAAGTTCAATGAAGTATTTCTTACCTTCATGTACTTTTTTTTTTGTTACAGATCAAACTTATATGATGAAAAAAGAAAGAATAATTGTAAAAGTGAATCTTCATTAAACTAATATAAATTTATAGGCAAAATAAAGGAATTTTATAAGACACATAAACTTATAAATTTAAATTGGAGGTTATGAATATAAAAATTATGAGAGTCATGAATATTATTAAAAGTAAAAATTAAAGAAGGGCAAGTCATGGGCAGTAACTCCTAGTGAATAAATTCAAAAATAAAAATAAAAATACTTAAAATGTAAAAAAATAATAATATGATTTCATGATTAGAAGTGAGATAAACAAATAGAAAAAAATATAGATTTTTTTTATTATTATAAATGTTCATACATTAATAAAGTATTTATTTGTATATTTGTATAAATGAAGTAATATATTTTTACAATAAAATAATTAATTTAAATTAAAAAAAGTCAAAAATAAATAAATTATGTTTCTCTTTTAATTATAAGTGAGATAAATAAATAAAAAATATGAAGAGTTTTTGTTATAAATGACCCACCATTAATAAAATATTTATTTATAATAAATTTAAGTAATTTTTTATAATATATAATAATTATTTTTTTTTAAAAAAAATAAAAAAACTAAATGCAAATGGAGGCCATATAGAGGTGCCACATCACCTCCTTATTTATATATATATATTGATTCCTCTCTTAAACTTACCATCAACATGCAGTTTCAAAACAGATATTTCTTGAAATGCAATTCTCCGCTCACTTCAAAACAGAATGAAGTCTGCTTCAACTCTTCAAAACAGCCAACACTACTGGTCATTTATTTTTAATGATTAACATGATATATTGGTGGACTAAAGGTCAACAACACTTCTGTTGCAAGCTCAGCACTGCTCAAGCTTTGGTCTGTCACGACCAATCCAAAATTGTGACTAAATTGAGCCCGCTTGAGTAATAAAGTATACTAAGCTTGAGTTCCAAAGTAAATGGCTCATTAGACACACAACCTTGAAGAGAAACAAACACCATTTTAATCCTACAAGTTGAGTCTGGGGAGGAGAGGACCCTATACTCCAACCTTTATCAGCTTTCTGCTAGACTCAACCTTGAAGACTACCAACTTATTTTCATTTTTCTTTTTGTTTTCAATTGCAGACCAGGTTTAAGTACCAAGCTATATCTTCAACTCTTTTTCCGCATTTACAAGTAGGCCAAAAAGGTAATAATATTACCAGTAGGCCGCCTCTACTCCTTCTCTTAGTGTTGTTCCTTCCCATCAACCTCTCTCCCACATAGTTAGATGCTATATATATTGCCAGCCATATAAAATTAGTGAAACAACCCTCCTACTAAAATCTCAAGCATCCTTTATATCTCTCTTGGACTCAGATTTTAGACAGCAACAAATCCAGTCTTATTTCAGCATCAGATGCATTGCATTTATGTTTGTTTTTTTTTCTGTAGTTTGAATATTTGAGGATATGTTAACACTTTGTAGAACTCAGTTCTTGTGTGGTTATTCAAGACAAGAGAGTTGAAGGATTATTTATGTTAGGGTTGTTTTCACAATTTATACCATTTCTAGTTTGATTTGGTAAAGTTGCTAAATAGTTTGTTGTAAAATTTAACCAAAATTGTAGAGCCATTATTTCGCTCTGCAAAAACTTGATTATCGAGGTGCACGCAAGTTGGCCCGGACATCACAATCATCTATAAAAAAAACTGTTTGTCTTGAGCTCGGGCTTGAACTAGACTCGAGCCAACCTTGAGCTCATCTCTCAATGCACCAAGTTGAAATGAACCTGACTAATGTTGGGCTTGGCTTGGGTTAGCTCATTTATACACAATCAAAAGGACACTGTTAATGTTCCAAGTTCATAGCATTGCTTGCTTCAACATAAGAACACCACGTAGCATGGATTCTAGACATACTCATCCACAAATGGAAACAAAGACATCAAGGATAAAGCAAAATATGTTTAAACCACTTTCGATTCTAAATCATTTTTCTCTTTTTCTTATGGGGGTGGGGGGGGGGGGGGTAGGTGGAGGCAAGAGAGAGCATCAAGGTAGCTCCAAATTCATAAATAAAAAATATTAACTTACTCCCGCAAGCATCGTTTAATTTAGGACCCAATTCACTGATAGGGGATCTATTGATGATCCATCTGTTGGCAGCAAGCCGTGGCCTTTGGGTAGCAAATACATTATTCATAGAACATGACACAGCATTTAGCAAGAACTTAAGATAGATTCCACAAGAAGATTAGAATCATATAACGGAGTAAATAAGAGAGCTAGTCATTGTCGATGGACCAACTAGTTGAATCAATTCTAACAGGTTCACATCAGATAGATTAACGCATACAATACACAGAACCTGTATTATGAAGAAAACAATCATTTTCTTATGAAATACGTGCCAGAGAATCTTGTTAGCTAGTGGAGTATTTCCTAAAACATATATGATTAAGTTATAAAAATTAAGTTGGAATGCTATGATTTGCACATTTAGACAGGGAGCAATATGAATGTTGAAGATTATAAGCTATGAAGTGTAGTAAAAGGTTGAGAATGTACGTGAGTACCTAATCATGTATTACCAACTACAATCAATGTTGAAGTGAATAAGCTATCAAAACATGGAGATACATTACAAATAAGCATTAAAACTGCAAATCAGAACGCGCGTGGGTACAATATCTCCCACATTAATCATGTAAAAGATATTGCTCCTTGTGCATAGTGAAGGTGTAAATTTGACCCTATTCTCTTTTTTCCTTTAGCAAATTGAGGCTCAGATTTGTGTGAAGATAAGGCCAAAGAGAAGCCAACCACACCATGGATGCAACAAACAATTGCATGTGTGAGTTATGCGTCTCAATTACAGGCCATACCGGGTTCACCCGCCAAGATACGGGTTGGGTAATCTCAATGCCCGAATTTAGTTAGCCCAGAAATCATCACTGCCTCTCTAATAATTTTCACAGTCATGCTGTTGTTGTTTTATAGTTGTTTATTGCCTTGTGAGCATACATTTAAGAGTGCAAAATGCAAAGAAACCCAGAGAGTCTCCTTTGTTAAGGGCTGTTAGTTCGTTTTAAAAAATGGAAAATCATAGGCAAAGCATAGAGATAAGGGCAACCACCCTTGATAGAAATCCCATACTCTCTGCTGCCTTATTCTTGAATTTTTTAGGCTAAACTAACAAAAGGGAATTCACAAGACTTCAAGTGTCTTTCTGCCAATGCCAATTCTTTCTCCTGAGGCTCAGATTTGTAATAAAACCAGCAGAAGGAGACAAAGTAACCGCCATGGCTGCAGACCTCCGTTGCAAAACGCTGATGCCTTACCGGGTTACCTTGCTAAGATAAGGTAGATCCAATGCCTGACCCAACTCAATACAACTTCATTTGTCATCATCACAGCCTTACACTATGATTAAAAGCTAGCATTGGTAGATAGGCCTTACCCCGGTCCTTTGTGGGGGACTAGAGAAGTTGTTTCCAATAGACCTCAGCTCAAGAAAATCACAGTCCAGAACCTAAATGATGGGGGGGAAAGCCCAAAAACTGTAGTGTACTCAATCTATGTCTCTTTCACTTTTTTAAGGGTTGTTGATTTGTTTAGAAAATGAAAGAATCACAGGCAAATCATAGAGTAGGGCAACCACCCTTGAACAGAAATCCAATTATTCTCTGTTGCCTCATTCTGAATTAATGTAACAAAAAGGGGTTCACAAGTAATTACTTGCAAAAACAGAGATGCAAACTAGCATAAGTGCAAAACTACAAAAAAAAATCAGGGCTTAGCAGAGAAGGGAGGCAACCCCCCCCCCCCTCAAAAATGGACCTTAAGAGACAATGCACACACAAATGACACTTGAAAGTCCTTGCTTTAAACAAGATGGAGCAGAAAACTAATATAAACTGTTGATGATACCACATATGGTTGGGAGACACAACATTGGGTGAGGAATTCCCAAGCTGAACCAAAGTTTGCCACAGCATCCAACAGACTAGACGACATTTGGGACCTAAGGTTCAGGAACCTACATGACTGGGTACTTAATGACATATTGGCCCTCTTTGCTAAATTGCAGCCCTGCTCCTTTTTCCCCCCAAGAGCCTGATAGATTAGAATGGCTTTCAACGTGATGGAGAACAGACCTGATATAACTGTTATTCATACCGAATGGAATAACAAGCCTAATGAGAAGTGATTTTAATGCTTTGTTTTCCACATTTAGACAGGCATCGATCCTTCAGAGGGTAAATATGAATTTTGAAGAGAATAAGCTATAAAGTGAAGTAAAAGGTTTGAGAATGTATGGGCAACTAAACCTGTATTAACAACTACAATCATTACTACAATACCTTTCCCTTCTAAGACAGATTTGCAAATGGTTTACATTTTCTGAGCTTTTTGAATGTATAATATGACAGAGACAAGTTCTGGAGAATATTACCGCAAGAACTGTGACGGATGTCTGCTGCTCGGGAATCAGATTTAAGTTCCCGGTTTAATCAAAATATATAACTTCATGCTCAGAGTTGGGTTTAACTTAAATGAATTTTGCAAAATTTAGTGCAATAGAATTTCTGGTGTGATAAAAATGTAAACAAAGATCGTACTTAACTGATAAGTGATCTTGAAGCTTGAGAATGATTGTTGCAAATCCAACCCCGGTTTTGAATTTGGTCAGCATAGTTGTGTGGTAATTGGTAAATAACTTCAGGCATGACCTGCAAAGGCACGGTCAAACTCAAAATCAATGTTACCTATTATAAAGAGTTTCAAGACTCCCACACAAGACTTAAAACCAATGTTACCTATTATTAAAATAAGCGTAATAATTCTTGCTCAGAATCAAGATAGGTCAGATAGGACCTGATAATTCAATGAAGTGCAGCCTCCAAGTTGAAGTGACATTTCAATGAATTTTTAGACAGTCGTTAGTTCTTCCAAACGAATTCGCTCATCTGAAGCATGCTGAAGAACATGACGATGACTGTAATATTCAACGAAGATAAAAGAAAATCACAATCCTTGACTTTGTAAAAAGGGACGCACATTTATTTTCACATGGACCTAAGTTTCTACACAAGAATATTCTTCACCAGATAGCCACAAAGTGATGAAGCATAAGACAAAGCACTCTATATTTTTTTGCAGTAAAGTCACAAAATTGCAATATAAGAGAGGAAGTTATTTGTTAAAGTATTGGTTATGCAAACTGCAATGATGTAAATATTAATGTGGGGATTATAACGCGGTGAATAACAAATGAGTAATGCTATGCAGGGACTATCTACAATAAAAGGGAATTTTGACTGTAAATACTCATATCCGTGCATTGTTGACAAATGTGTTGTTACTCCAGAAGCTATTCCGCATAAAATAGTACTTGCATGAGTCATGAAAATATTAATAATGAACAGTTAAATACCACCAATCAAATGCTACATCAGTTATGTTGAGCTTATTTTTTCTTATGCTGATAGAACTTTTTCTTAAGCAGCCTACAAACTTTGTACTAATTATGCAGAAGTTTATGCTTAGATTTATATTTGCTACGAGTCTAACCAAACGATCCCTAAGGAAATCAATCGTTAAAGTAAATTTGTTATAAGGAAATTCATGAGAAACCAAGAACGGCCAACTATGAAAAGGACAGAATAAACCTGATCAATTATATCAGGTGTTGTGCTGGCTGCTCACCACAATCGGAATAAACTTCTTATCAACCTGTTAGAGAAATTTGGCACCCCCTCCAGGCAGTTTTGATCAATAGTGCCAGAAACCAATGAATTGCCAACAAAATACAAGACGCCAGAAGTGACACTGAATACAGTATACTGTCCAGCATTGTTCTGCATCTCATAGGAAAAGGTAAAAGTCCATCATCTTAGCAAAATAGAGAAGTAGCAAAAACATCCGAGATATAGCTACGGTACTCAACTATAATCTCTGGTCGGAAGTCCCTCCATTTTATCCCAGAATTTAAGAAACTTTTAATTTTTATTGGTGCAAATTCTGAAAATATGATTAAATAAAAGACCAGGCATGACAATTTTATTACAAGATCAGAACATAAGCAAGATGGAATTTGAAAGAGGATGTGTGTCACAGGAGTCTTGGAAAGAAACATTATAATCTCATGCTTTCATGATTAATAAGAATGCAGCCTAAGATAATCTTGAAAAGTGGGTAAAAGAAATGAAGCTAATTAACTTAAACATGCACTAGGAAAATTCAGCTTTTATTCCAGTCAGAAACAAGTGGCAGGAATGGTTTACCTCCTTCTAACTCCCATCGTGTGAACATGTGCACTCCCCTTGAGCTTGTAATTTGCTATTCCAGATGTTAACAAGTTTCCTTTCACACTTGACCTGCAGAGAGAATTACTGACATACTTGATTGCGATAATATCAGAAAGAGACCAAACAACCCTCCCAAGAAATTTGATAACATAAACTTCATCAGAGAATATACCGAATAGGTGGATCAAATTAAGACTGAAAACGGTAAAATACTCTGTACTCATTAACAGAGGGCCTGCAGGTTTTCTCTCTCCTAAAAAAGGGCTAAGGCAGGGAGACACACTCTCTCCCTTTATTTTCATCCTTGCTATAGAAGGTCTTAGCAAGATGCTCCAAAAAGCAAGTAGACTACAATGGATTGAAGGCTTCAAAGGAGGCAGTCCCATCGGAAACAATGTTACAGTTTCACATCTGCTTTATGCGGATGATACTTTGCTATTTTGTAGGGCAGATAGATCATAGATCACAAATGCTTAGGCTAAACTTGATTTTGCACATTTTTTAAGTTGTATTTGGACTGCATACAAAGATGTCAAAAAGCACTATCTATCAAGTAAATTCAGTGCTTAATCTGGCAAAGCTAGCACGAATCATGCGTTGCAACATAGGGTCCTTTCCAAAAACTTATCTTGGGCTGCCTTTAGGTGCAAAATTCAAGTCTAACGGGATCTGGTTGGGAAGGATTGAGAAGTTTGGAAAAAGAGTAGCAACATGGCAACTGCAGTATCTTTCTTTCGGAGGAGGAGTTACATTGATTAATAGTGTAATGGACAGAATCCCAACTTATTATAATTCATGTGTCCCTTTCCCTATTCTAACAAAAGTTCTCCAAAAGCTTGACAAAATTAGAAGGAATTTTCTATGGGAAGGCAACAACTAGGATCATAAGTTGCATTTGGTTAAATGGGCAACAGTGATAACCTAAATCTCAAGGGGGTCTGGGTATCAAAGATTTTGCAACTAACAATAAAAGAATGATATTGAAATAATTATAGAGGTATGAAACAACTAAAGACGTTGGACTGTGGAAAGAGGTGATCAAAGCAAAACATGGTGAGCTTACTCACGGGTAATAAAAATTTTTGGCAAATGCATATGGAGTTGATCTATGAAAAAGCATCAGTAAACTTTGGCTTGATTTTGCTGAGAACATCACATTTAGAGTGGGAAAATGGATCTCACATCAAATTCTGGAAGGACATATGGTTGGGAGACCTAACTTTGGGTGAAGAATTGCCAAGCTGAACGAAATTCTGCCATAGCATCCAACAGATTGGACGACATTTGGGACCTAAGGTTAAGGAACCTACATGACTGTACTTAATGACATATTGACCCTTTTTGCCAACTTGCAGCCTTGCTCCTTTTCACCCCAAGAGCCTAATAGATTAAAATGGGGTAACTCAAGAAAAGGTCTCTACACCGACAAGTAAGGCTATAACAACTTATGCTCAAGGAACTCAATGACTGAAATAGCTACGGACGCATATATGGAAGACCAAAATTACCTACCAAAGTGATCTGTTTAAGCTGGACTGTACTGCACAACTCATGCCTCACAGGACAATCTCTCCAGTAAGAAATTTCATCTTTCCAGCCGATGCTACTTCTGCCACAAGAACACAAAAGGTGTCAACCACTTCCCATTGCACTGCCCGATTGTCTCAGACCTCTGGAACATGTTTTGTTGTTTTTTGGTCTTTCCTGGGTCACGCCTTTCAAAGATAGGGAAGCTCTTGAAAGTTGGAGTTCACAGGAGTTGACAAAGCCATCAAGAGTATCTTGATGATGATCCCTTGTGCTATTTTTTTGTGTTAATGGACAGAGGAACAAAAGACGTTCTGATGGAATTTCAACTTCTAGAAATCTTTTGCGAGGTAGATGTCTAGTTAGCCTTTTTAGCTGGTCCAAATTGACCCCTATAAGTAATTTAGAACTCTTTTTGGATTCTGTTAGCTCTACTGTTTAGGAAGAAGCTAAAAATCCATATTTTTGTGAGCTTAAGTGATCTATCATTGTAAAGCTTCCATATTCTTGATGCCTATAAATGAATCTACTTGCTTCATCAAATAAAGAACTTATGACATGTTCCCTATCACAATCCCATTTTGAGTCCTCGTCACTGACCAAAGCCCTGGGGCTAGTACAACTCAAAATTGATACTTACGGGACAAATATACATACCATGGAAATTATTCTTCACGTGGTGCAGTGATAAAAATATAACAGACTTATTAACAAGCATTACCAATGCATGCAATAAATATCTATTAGGAATTTCAAGAAATCAGAGAGAAACAACAAAGAACCATATTATTTCAAAAAATACTTTGTCAGAAATCAAAAAATTAGTATATAGCTGGATGTAACAGTCTCCTACAGATAGCAAGGCTCCAAAACGATTGATGTAGCAAATATCAAAATCTAATAATTAAGAACAACAAGAGTAGGACTGTAGAAGGTCGTGTAATTTTACCAAAAGGGTTATTTAGTTACGAAAAAAATTAACCTTTGCGATGGAGAAGAAAGACCAAAATACGGAATTTTCCCCAAAATATCATTAACCCACCTGAAGTGCCATTCCAAGCAACAATTCTTTGCCTCGACAGGCAACATTTTTTATTGGACATTGACGGATGAAAACCTCCAAATATTCATTGTCTATAAAACAGAGCAGATTGAGTACTAAGAATAAGAAAAGAGGGAGTGCATGTGAAATACAACGAAAAGGATTTCATGACTGCAAGTCAAAACACGAATCAGCTCAAAAGCTTAGGAAGCTTTCATGACTGCAAGCACCAGTAGCCTTATGAGACAAAGAAGAAACACCTAGAAATGGAATTTTCTCCGCATCTCTCCATTAAATACATAACAAAATCATAAAATCATAAGTCATGAGGATATTAATAATGAACAGTAAATACCGTCAACAAACTGTTGCATTAGTCATGTTGAGCTTGTTTTTTCTTATATGTTGACAACTGTGTGGTACATAGTTATGCGGATATTACTTTTTCTTATGCAGCCAAAAAATGTTACACAATTTATGCGGAAGTTTATGCTGAGATGTATATTTGCTAATGAGTCCAACGAAACTATTCCTAAGAGAAACAATCGTTTAAAGTAAATGCATTATAAGGAATTTCATGAGAAACCGAAAAGTAAAGTAAATGCATTATAAGGAATTTCGTGAGAAACCGAAAATGGCCGATTATGGAAAGGACAAAATAGACCTGATCAGTTATATCATCTGTTGTGCTCGCCACAATCGGAATAACTTCTTATCAATTTGTTGGAGAACTATGGCACCCTCCAGGTAGTTTTTATCAAAAATATCGGGAAATAATGAATCACCAACAACATGCAAGACGCCAGAAGTGACACTGAGTACAGTAAACTGATTATTAAGATTCTCTGTTCTGCATCTCAACAGGAAAAGGTAAAGTTCATCATCTTCAAAAAATCGAGAAGAAGCAAAAACATCCAAGATATAGCAAAGGTACTAAACTGTAATCACTGGAGCTACTAAAACATCCATCAGACAACTATATGTACCATATAGTTCAGTAAAGAGAAGTCATTGTAGAATCTTGGAAAAAATTCACACAGACATTGTAAATTCTGAAAATAATAAACCACTACAGCACAACAACATCAATTACATTGTTCAATTCCAATACAGTCAAATTCTCCAACCTAAAGCCCTAAAGAGCCCAAGACACAATTACAATACAGCAGGGATAAGAAAATCTTGAAATAGCAGTACGAAAATCCATCAAAAAAAGAAAGAAGAGAAAGCTTACTTGAAGAACCCAAAAATTTATTTGATCTAAATCAAGTACTTCACCATTAAAGATTCCACAAACAGTTACAACCCTATAGAAAAGCCTAAAAATAGTGACCAAAACATCCATCGATGACTATAGGTACGATATATTCTTCGCTATAAAAAAAGACATCGTAGAATCTTGAAGATAAATCACAAAGACATTGAGAATCTTGGTAAAAAAAATCACAAAGACATTGTTAAATACCAATCATGAAGTCAAATTCTCCAATATTAAACCCTAGAGAACATAAAATGCGGAAAATCTTGAAGAAAAAGAAAGAAAGAGAGAGAGAGCTTCCTGACAGAGAAAGGGAGACGATTGAAAGCATTAATTTCATATATATGCTATTTATAGACTTCAAAATTCCGGCGAGAGTAGTTTAATGTCACTTTGGTCCCCAAAGTTCAATATATCGTCATAGTACCACCTCTTTTTTTTTAAGGAAAAAAGGTCAAAATTACCCCTTAATTTTGTTTTATTGGTTGATTTACTCTCATCATAAAAAGAAAGTTATTTTTATCTCTGCTGTCAATAAATTTAACAAATATAAGTATCAAAACATTTTAAGTTAGAATACATTGAAATATACGCATTTAAATCATTTTAAAATTGTGGATATAATTTTAGGCTAAGTTGACATATTGTGAAGGACAATTTGAACAAAATATAAGTGTCAAAACATTTTAAGTTAGAATACATTGAAATTTAATCTTTTTCTAAGTGCATTGAGTACATAATTACAAGGAGTAAAGAATCTTTGTATTGTAACTTTGATCAAAAGGGTTAAACGTAATGAGTGTTTTTATATTCACTTTTAAGTCTGGGCAATAAAACGGGATGTATCAAAATCGGTCGGGTATCGTTTCGATTCGGTTGTCGATGGGACACGGAACGGAATAGAACCGAAGTTTGGTATCGGGGTACCTGTACCGGTTTATCCCGATTCCGGTTCGATTTTCATTAATTAATATTTGTTAATTAATTATAAATTTATAAAAATTATAATTTATATTTTATATCAAACAATAAATACTATCCCCTATTTGTATTACATTAGTATTACATTCGAGACTTAGTTGAAACAAAACTCTTCCTAGAAGGTGGTTGCGTAAACTATGCACTCTACTAATAGTTGTAAATCGAAATTGTAATTTGTAATACAAATTTAAATAAATTAAATTGATATTTTTTAATTTGTGTAATTGCTTTAATTATTTTATTTAATTTTTTAAAATTATGAATTTAATTTATTTGAATTACAAGTTATAAATATAACTTATAAATTATAACATATTAATTAATAATAAGTAATAATAAACTTAGAAAAAAAATTACATTATAAATTTAAAAACTATTAATTTAAACTTAGAAAAATAAAAAAATCTTTATAGTTTGGTAATTTAAAAAAATTATTTTTTGAAATAACTAGATGTGCCATCCATTCCAGTACATAGTGAGATGGGACATAATCGAGTATTCGTCTCGATAATTCGATCCATTTTGTCCCGAAACCGATCAACTCGTCCCGTATCGGTTCGTACCGATTCGTTCCCTGATAGTCCCTTTCCGATCCATTGCTCAATCTTAATTCACTGGAATGTGTCTAATTTATAACCACAATATACTTGACGAATGACACAAGTTTGTGAACGAAACAATAAAAACAAGATTGATTCTAAATCTTTTATTCTTTTAAGTCCTTATAAAATACGAAAAGCGAACATTAAAAACACATAAAAATAAACGAAACAAGAAAAAAAATGACGCGTTATAGAAACTCTTACTAACTCAAAAAAAAATCAAGGGCATGATATTAGCTAACTCATTCTACGGTTTTTTTTTCTAACAAGTATTCGCTTTTACCCATTTTTATTTATTCATTATTCATTTGTTACTTGTTTACTTAAGGAATAAATGATTTACAAAAATAATTAATGTTAATTGCAATAATCGAAAAAAATAATTAAGGAATAAATGATTTACAAAAATAATTAATGTTAATTGCAATAATCGAAAAAAATGTCTTATCTATTAATATGCTAAAGTAAAAACCTAAAAATGATAAACAATTAAGAATTTCTTTTACTTAAATTAATAAAAAAAATTGTGTCGAGGAAATTATGCAATGTTGGGTTATATTGATGTCCTTAAATAAATATAAACGACATTATTAGGTATTTTCTCTAATATGTTTTTCGAGAAAAATCTGCAATATTGAGTAATATTGTATCCCTAAAACAATCATAAGCGACATTACTGTATATTTTCCGAGTATGCTATCTCACTTCCCGTCAAATTGGATTGAACCAGCCACCCAGATAAGACTCTCACCGAAAGACATTCTTTTTTCGACAAAACAAATATGGTTGACTATACAGGGAAATTACTCCAAAAATAATCTCAAGAAGATGCTTATTGTGTAGTAATTATGATCTTTGAAGAGGTGTGGTGAACTTGTATAAAAGCTCAATTTGGAAATTGAAAAGAAACAGACCACTGTGTCATAAGCTCAAGGCTCTTGTGGGAGCATCGTACTCCAAGTCCCAAGTATGGAAAATAGAATTAACACTTCACAATCCTAAATCTTGAGCAAACAGTTATTTGATTCACACAGATACAACTGACCATCATAATAATGTTTCAGATAGGAAATAAAATTCTTGTATATATAATAAAAAAAGATCATCGGAGACAGATGACACACAAATGATTTAGGCAATAACACATCTCTTTATTTTGATCCAAAATATTCATATTTAACTTTCAAGTGTCTTTAGATCTTTTCTTTTGATTATTATAGACAAAACATATAATTTTAAAACACAAATCATTCACCTCTCAATTCCACACTTGATCGTTGAAGCATCAAGGTGAAACTGAAATTTGGTTATAATGGGCAAAACAAGCTTCTTAACAGTTCACACTTCTATAATAAAAGAATAGCGAGTTTTTCGAGATCTAAAATCCTAGAGTTGGGTACTGATGTGGGTAATATAATGATCAGTACTCACACAATTTTCTCTCTCATTAAAAGCAAAGAGAGAAACAAGTTTCCTTTGAATGATTAAAAACAAAAAGAAAAGCACAAACCACAAAGCTGCACATCCAACGGTATCAGCTGTTCTAACTTCCGACAGCCTCTTCATCAAACAAGATAACTTCAACAGATTCCTCCGTGGCTTGCTTCCAGGAACCTGTGCTCAATATACCAGGATAGGGTTTATAAGAATAGCTGTGGCATGCACAAAGGATCATCAGAGCTATTTAGAGATGTCAATTTTTAACATGATAGGCTGAATTGATATCAGCGACAGACTTGACACAAACATGTTTCATGGAGGCACCATTTGGGAGTGTAAGGTGTTTGAGCATGAAAAATCAATTCTTCAAGTATTAGTTACATGATTAAAAATACACTTAGTCATAAAGGTTTGAGCAGAGAAATACTAGATAGAACTTTTGAAACCAATATTATGGACATTCCAAAAGACAGATAAAAATCATGTTTAGGTTCAGTTTGAAAATTTGGAACAAAGTTCTTTATAGGATAGCTAAACCAACCAGTGCTCATGAATCTTTTTGGAAGTAGACTCAATGTGATAAGAGTAAAATAATGAGATATTTCCAAGCAGCACTGAGCTAAAAGTTTACATTATTCAAGTTGAACATTTGCTTGTATTGCTTGCAGAGCCAATATATCCACAACCAAAAGAAAAAAAAAATGAGTAAGGATCAATTTCAAAGGTGAAAAGCAAAAGAGCAAATCAAGTTCAAATACTCTCTTCCATCTTCAAGCAGCCTATTACTTTTTTCTCCTTCTCCTTGTAATCCAGAAATCATAAACAAATAATTTCTCAATGAATGCAAACTGAACCTCAAAAAGATTTCTCACAACCACACACTTTTCATTTTCTTCAGTTGGTAGGCTTCTCTATCAATGTATATTCTACGATTGCAAGATTCTAGCATTTTACTAGTTCAAGGAACTTAAATCAAATATTTGATTAATAATCTACAAGTTCAACAGTACTTCCGGTCTAGACGATAAATGCAACGAATATGAAATGTATAATCCTAATGGGCCTTAGCAGCTCCTGAGCATAAAAGTGAACATACTCATCTTCCTCGAGAATTTCTTCATAAATATTTTCCTCCATATTTGTCAGTGAAGTTGGGATCATAGGTGAGATATTCCAATCCAGGGTGAGATGCAAAATTTAATCGCAGTAGGAAGAAATATACCAGGTAAACCTTAGCAAAAAGCCTGGAAATGGAAATACTTAACCAACACGGATGGAACAACAATTAGAAAACTTAAGTAAAAATTAGTCAACAAGATAGATAGATAGATAATAAAAGAGGAAAGGTCTAAAAGGAAGCACATCATCTCAGATGGAAACAGTAGAGGATCTTAAATGGAAAAGGGACGGTCAAGAGTGAGCATGCATGTGTCACTCTTTAAACTTTTTGGCTTGACTTAAAAAAGTAGCTTTCTAAAAGTAGTTTTAAAAAAGTCAAACTTAAATAACTTTTAAGTTAAAAAAGGAAAAGTAGCGGAGTACCTACTTTAAACTTTTTTTAAGTCATCTTTAACTTATTTCAAGTTATTTTGAACTTAACCAAACACTCTCAAAAGCTAAAAGGAATTAAAAGTAGGTTTGACCAACTTTAAAGTCAATCCAACCATACTTTTTAGTCTTTTCTATTTCACGCTTATCTAGCCAAACTCTCTCAAAAGCGAAAAAGGAATTAAAAGTAGGTTTGATCAACTTTTAAGTCAATCCAAACAAGCTCTTAGTCTTTTATGTCACATTTATCTAATTCCAGACTCCATTTAGGAGTGTCAAACATTAAACAATCAGCTGCATCAGATAGCCCCAGATACAAGTCACTCAGCTGTCTTTTGTTTCACTTGATACAAGTAAGCCTTTCTGGAACTAACCCACAGGAAGACCAGGCAAAATAACCATATTTATATACTGAACATACTTTGCTTTTATCCTCCTATGAACATTTCTGGTACACGAGAGCCAAAGAAATGAATATTCAATATTTTCACTCGATTCCCTTGTCTTCCTCTGTCTGCTTTCCGATTGTCAAAATCATATCAAATGATGACCTGGCTTCTCTTAATGACAGTAGTAACATATGACCTGACTTCTTTTTTTGACACTAGTAATATATGACCTGGCTTCTTTTTTCGATCAACTTATGTCATAGTTTCTCTAAGGCAGCGACAAGCATGCTCTCCAACAGCCAACAGGGTAAAAAATACTGGTTGTGGAATCTGCTAAATGAGTATCCACTTAGTCTATACCTACTGTTGAGAAAACTATATTGTCCTTGGGCATGTCTAAAAGCTGACGACGCAAACAAGTAAATCATAATTACGTGGCATTTGATAGGAATAGTGCAAGCATCAATTATGATTTAGGATTTGATACCTTAAGGCGCCAATAATCTGTCCGATTTTGAGCTCTTATTGCTCAAAAGGCAAACCACTTAAGCCTTTGCCAGCAAATAATCCGACAAACTCGAAGACAGAGAGATGTTGTATAGAGAAAAGGTTAGACTGAATTTACTGCGGGAAAAGTTGAAAGCTTGGCGACCAATCCAACTGTACATGATAGTCGAAGAAATCTTTTTTGACTCGTGTTTCCATGTCTGAAACGGAAATTGCTGTTACTATCTCCCAAATCCTCTATGACTAAGCCATCAATACAAACACTATTTTAACTTGATACACTTTCTATTCGAAATTTAAAGCTCATAAGATGTAGAGAAACTGATAACAAAGATACCATACAGTGATGCATGGTCTGTGTCCATCAAGTTCCCGTACTTGTGAAGAACATCAAATAGTATGTCAAGACATTCACACTTGATCAAAAAAATTCTTAATCTTTACAAATTTAGGAAACATTGACGCGAACAAATATCAACATAAGCCATATCTCACATGTAAAGAACAATTTGTTGATCAAAACCTTTTGTTTGTGCTTACCTTTGTCTCAAAGGAACAAGTAAATGATAATACTTTTTGGAGGCTAATTATTCATTTCAACTTCCTCATGTTATCCTGCATCCAAGGGTTTTGGCCTAGTAGTCAACATAAGAACACCACCTAGCATGGATTCTAGACATACTCATCCATATTGGAGTTATTATTCCAATACAAATGGAAAAAAAGACCTCAGGAATAAAGCAAAATATCTTTAAACCACTTCCGGTTCTTCCTAAATCATTTGTCTTTCTCCTTTTCTTATGTGGGGGTGGGTGGAGGCAAGAGAGCATCAAGGTAGCTCCAAATTCATAAATCAAAAGTATTAACTTACTCCTGCAAGCCTCGTTTAATTTCAGGACCCAATTTACTGATGAGGTACCTATTGATGATCCATCTGTACCAGCAAGCTGTGGCCTTTGGGTAGCAACTACATTATTCAGAGAACATGACACAACATTAAGCAAGAACTTAAGATAGATTCCATAAGAAAGATTAGAATTAAATAAAGGAGTAAAATATGAGAGCTAGTCAGTATTGATGGACCAACTAGTTGAATCAATTCTAACAGGTCCACATCAGATAGATTAACGCATAAAATACACAACCAATATTATAAAGAAAACAACAATTTTCTTATGAAAAATGTGCAAGAGAATCTTCTAGGCTAGTGGAGTATTTCCTAAAACATGACTGATGTATGAATAGTTTTACAAATTAAGTTATGATTTGCACATTTAGACAGACATATCATCCTTCAGATAAAACAATATGAATGTTGAAGAGAATAAGCTATGAAGTGTAGTAAAAGGTTTGAAAATGTAGGTGAAAACCTAACGGATATTAACAACTACAATCAATGTTGAAGAGAATAAGCTATCAAAAGATGGAGATACATTATAAATAAGCATTAAAACTGCAAATCAAAACAGTGTGGGTTCGGTGTCTCCCACATTAATCATGGAAAAGATATTGCCCCTTATGCATAATAAAGGGGAAATTTGACCCTTTTTCATTTTCTCTTTAGAAAATTGAAGCTCAGATTTGTGTTATGATAAGGCCAACGAGAAGCCAATCACGCCATGGATGCAACACAGTTGCATGTGTGAGTTATGCGTCTCAATTACAGGCCATGCCGGTTTGCCCCGCCAAGATACGGGTAGGGTAATCTCAATGCCCGAATTTACTTAGCCCAGAAATCATCACTGCCTCTTCACTAATTTTCATATTCATGTTGTTGTAGTATAGTTGTGTGTATTGCCAATTCTTTTTCCTGAGGCTCAGATTTGGTATAAAACCAGGCAAAAGGAGACAAAACAACTGCCATGGCTGCAGACCTCAGTTGCAAAACGAAGATGCCTTACCCGGTTGCCTTGCCAAGATAAAGGTAGCTCCAATGCCTGACCCAACACTATACAACTTCATTTGTCATCATCAAAGCCTTACCCTATAATTATTGATTAAAAGTTAGCATTGGCAGATAGACCTTACCCCGGTCCATTGTGGGAGACTAGAGAAGTTGTTTCCAATAGATCTCAGCTCAAGAAAATCACAGTCCAGAACCTAAATGACTTGTTTTGGAGGGGGGGGGACCCAGAAACTGTAGTGTACTCTATCTGTCTCTTTCTTTTTTTCAAGGGCTGTTGGTTTGTTTAGAAAAATGGAAGAATCATATGCAAAGCATAGAGAAGGGCAATCACCCTCTAATAGAAATCCCATTATTCTCTCTGCTGCCTCATTCAGCATTAATCAAACGAAAAGGGGTTCACAAGTAATTACTAGCAAAATGGAAATGCAAAACTAGCATAAGTGCAAAACGTAAAAAAAAAAAATCAGGGGTTACCAGAGAAGGGAGGCAAACACCCCTCAAAAATAGAACTTAAATGACAATGCAGACAAATGACACTTGAAAGGATTAAACCCTTGAAAATTCTTCCTGTGTTTAACAAGATGGAGCACAGAACGATATAAGCTGTTATTGATACCTCAGAATGGAATAACTAGCATGAGAAGAAGTGCTTGTCATGCTTTGTTTTCCACATTTAGACAGGCATATATCCTCCAGAGGAAGGAATGTGGATGTCAAAGAGAATAAGCTATAAAGTGTAGTAAAAGGTTTAAGAAGGCAGGTGAGCAATTAGTCCTGTATTAACAACTCTAATCAGTACAATAATAGTACAATACCTTTCCCTTCGAAGACTGTTCTGCAAATTGATTTACATGTACTTTCACATTTTGAATATATAATATGACAGAGACAAGTATAAGAGAACTTTACATCAAGAAGTGTGACTGACGTTGACTTCTGGTGAATCAGATTTAAGTTTCTTTTTTTTTCAAAACCTATAACTTCATGCTCAGAGTTAGGTTTAACTTTGATAAATTGTTGCAAAATTTAGGGCAATGGAATTTCTGGTAAATGGCAATTTTTCGAGTTCCACAGACTCGTTGTGTGATCAAAATCTAAACAAAGATTGTAATTGGTAAATGATCCTGAAACTTGAGAACGGAAGTTGCAGATCCATCCCCAGTTTTGAATTTGGTCAGCACAGTGGTGTAGTAATTGGTAACCAATTTCAGGCATGACCAGCAAAAGCTTGGTCAAAGCACTCAAGGACAAATCACCAGGCATGAGTGTCACATCGTGAACAGTCTAAATGTTGTTATTTACTGCTGCCTTTCTTGTAGACCACTTGTGGCAAAGAACTTCTTTTTTCCTTGGTAAAATGGAGGAGCAATGACTTCTTCTACTCATCTTCTTCCTTATAAGCTCATCTGTTTTACCCCGATTTCCAGCATCAATCCATTTACGTGAGTCCCCATCCAACCTAGAGGAGAGCATAGCTCGTGGTATCAAACAATTCTTAAGATTCTCTACAATGAGAATGCATGTGTCAAATCATCTCAATCATAATAGAATTCAGAGAGACCTGAACCAAAAACATCCCATGGATCATGTCCCCCATATACTGGCTTATGTCATTTCTAGAAAGAGCATATGAGTTGAGATCAAACTTCTTTACCGAAAAAAAAAAATTGAGATGACAGCTGTGGTATAATATCAGAAAGATACCTTAACCCTCCCAAGAAATTTTGTAACATTTACCTTTCATCAAAGAATACATAATCACCACAACTCAGGGTGGAAGATTGATCACATTGGCGGGATGACAGCTATGGAAGCTCGGGCAGAAAGTTTCTGCAGTCTCCTTACAGCTCTAGTTTCAGCACGATGGAAAAGAACATTAATTAGCTGCACACATTTTGTCATCATTAATTATTAACACAAACAACCTTCTTTCAGGGAGGTAGGTGGGGATCTAAAGCCTACAGGGAAGGGAATGTGGAGTGAACAAAGCCACAAGTACAAATAACATTAAATACATTGACTCCTTAGTGATGTTGCATAAAAATGTCAAGTGCAGTCATTAATAATATGGAATTGCTCTCTTAAACATACCATCAAGTGCAGTTCCAACACAAATATTTCTTGTAATGCAATTTTTAGAATACACTGAAGTCTGCTTCAACTCTTCAACAATGAGAGAACATTTTGATGGTAAAAATTGCATCTCCAAACATAATTGCACCTAGGCAAATAAATAAAATAAATAGAATGGCAACATCAGGAATCAATCCATCAATTATGCTTCACTCCTAGAATTAGTTGGCCTGCTATGTTGATCCCCATTCCTCAGTATCTGTCCACTCTATCCATATCTAAACAATCATTTTCTTATGAAAAACGTGCTTAAATCTTGTTAGCCAGTAGAGTATTTCCTAAAATGTGAATAATGTCAGCGATAAGGGTGCTGGAATTTGGCTAAAAAATTCCAAAATATAAAATAGAACTATAGAGATATTTCAAATTTTGAAAGATCTTCTTACTCATTTTCCCCAAGACCCCAACTTCTTCATTCAAAGTCTTTGGTTGTTCCCCTAAAATAACAAAACGGAAGGCATTCAAGGACTTAATTCCACCAGCTCTCCGCACAGATCATTGCTACTGTGTACCAGAAGCCAAACACATCTGCTTGAACTCTTAGTTTCTCTCCATTAGGCATAAAACATGCAGCAACAAATATTGACCTAGAGGAAAAAGCTAAAAAGGAGGCAAAAGGAATATAATATTGAATGTAAGTCATTTACCATGTTTTAAATCTATTGTCTTTATCTTTTTTGATATCTCAATTTTCCCACAAATTTTTCTATGGACTCGGGGTCAAAGTATCCAATGTGGGTTGACCAAATCCCACACGTATCCCTCGGACGCGTGCGATACGCGCACGCGTCTCGTACACGGGTGCAACAGCAACAGTGAATAGTCCGTGCAACTTAGACTCTTATTCAGGTCTGGAGCAAATGGAAGGAATGGTTTTCCTTCTTTTTACTCACTGTCACATGTACTTGTCCACTCCCATTGAGCTTTTAATTTGCTATTCCAGATGTGAAAAAGTTTCATTTCCACACTTAGCCTGGGGAGAGAAACATCATCTGATTTACCCTAAACCCTAAACCCCATCGCCCCCTCATTTCTTGATTTTTCTCTCTCTCTACATTCTCTCTCTAAGAAACGCTCCCAAAAAAATTGACCCTAACGGCTAGTTTACACAACGGCTCTAGCACTGCCGGAATGGCTAATATTCCGCCGGTAGAGCTTTCCAGACCGCCAGACCAAATGGAAATGATGCACAGACCTAATATGAGCAAAACCCATCTAGTCTCATCTTCAGATTCATCCTACAACTCCTCGAAATTACGAAGAGAAGAGGAGATTTACGCCGCAATTTCAGAGAGGGAGTTGGACTGGGCTCAAAAAATTATTTCCATGGCACGCTCAGGCGAGATTCAAGTTCTAAAGAGTGGTGAAGGTGATTCACAAGCCAAAGACCTATATTATACTCGAAAATCACATGAATCCACCTTCCCAATCGCGAGAAATCGAGAGGCGATTTATGGGGGAATCGCCCAAATCGCGCATTCAAATTGGATGTACTTGGGAGGAGATTCGAGTAGAAATGTTTAATGGGGATTGCTCCCCTATGCTAGAGGAACATCTCACTGAAATTTCAAGTAATTTTATCGGTAAAATCATAGTCAATGAATTTTCAGGCGATTTGACCGGAGCTCTAGTGACCTGTAATGATAAAGAGCAACGACAAGAGGGGCGCCTGGGAAGTACCAACGAGATTCCACAATACATTACAGTGGAACAACAACACAATAATTCGAATGAAGGAAAAGGTGCAAAATCAAGCAAGTTGACACTTGAACAAACAAAGGAGAATCTGGGGAGAGGAACAGAACAAGAACAATCATAGAATAGGGATAAGGATGTTGGAAAAAGGAAAAGCAGGCAGAAGAAGGAGAGAACATTAACCAAATGCCAAATTCTTCTAACTTCTCCTCTGGAATGCATAACTTGGAGGCTGGAGCATGAGCAGGCACAATTGAATGCAGAAATGCTGCATGATCGTTCTGCAATCAGCACCGTACCACCAGTTCAAGGTAATTTTCCACCTTTGCTTGAGAAATCTGTTGATGCAAATATGCAGGGGAACCAAAGCACATCGGCAATGGAAGTGCAGGAAATACAGAAGACAGTAATTTCCCCAAGATATTCAGTAATTTTGACCATCAAAATCTCAACCAAAGGAACAGAATCCCCCCCAAACCAGGTTCTACTTATGACAACCCTGAACAACCTCAAAACAATCCCTCCAGAAAAGACCACATCCCTGAACCTGCACCTGCACTGTTGTCCAAACCTGTGCTGATAGATTTAGACACAACCAAGCCAAAAATGATTTTCCCATTAAACTGACCACCCCTGAAATTACCTTCAAACAAGGTATACCTGCTGTCCTGTTCAAGAAAGAAGAAATTTTGGGGGAATTAGCTGCTATGTGTAAATATACTCTTATTGGGAAATTCAGTTACACCATGCCATAAATGGAATTGATTAGAAAAAGTTTCGTTCTGCAAACTCAGCTTTCGAGGGGGAGTTAAAATTGCTCAGTTTAATTCTAGACGTGTCTATATAGACCTCGACAATGAATTGGATTATAATATGGTCAGGACCAAGCAAAGAATGAGCATAGAACCTTTAGTATGCTGATAACACTTATAAGCAAAAAGCTTTAGTATGCTGATAACACCAAATATTTTCTGAATTGTGGGACACGAATCAAACAGCATTCTGGAACCTCATCTAACATAAAACACAAGTACATATAACTAGCTTAATAAATAATTTAAGTACGGAAGGACATCACAAACAGTAAAAGAAGCAACCTATTAGTTTCACAGACCCATGCACGGAAACTGATCTCCAAGCACGAAACACAGGATCCATCAGTAGGCTCAAAAACATACCGATCTCAAAGTTCGCAAAGCCGCATCCATGTATATAATTTCTGTGAAGGATCTACCTTCTCCATCATAATTAAATACTACAGATACTGAATCACAAAGTTGATTACCAAATCATCGCCTTCGAGAATCAATTTAAGTAGGATACGCAAAATATAGAACATGCCAACACAAGAATTGTAAACTCTGATACTTGCAACACATGTATGCGTTATGCAGCTAGGTTTATACAAATAATATATATGGATGTATCAACACCAGTACACTGTCACATCCTTCGCAATTAGTAGTGCAAACAGAGCAACTCTGTCATGTAACTAAGAACAAAATAATGCAGAAATTATGTGTGTTAGTTCAAAGTACTTTTTTCTCGGATAACATTGAAGTACTCCCCCATTTCAATTTGTTTGTTTTACTTTCCGTTTTAGTCTGTTTTTACAAGAATGTTTTTTCCTTTTCTTGACTTAAAGAACAGAAGATTCAAAATTCTTTCTTTATTTTCTTGAACTCCGTGTTAAGTCAAAATCAAACAAACAAATTGAAACAGAGGGAGTATCTCCTAGTAGTCAACAAGAAACTAATCCAAAAAAATGGCAGCACACTACAAATGATAATACTAGGTTTAGTTAATACTTTGCAGATGGCTCACATACATGAAGCTTAGTACTACTTAAAGAATGCTTTCCAAAATTTCAACTGGCCGATTAGTATGAAACCAAGTTGCAACTGACAGAGCATAATGAATGATACCAACTTCATATAATGTACAAATCTGGGTAACAACTAAATGCTGGTAAGAAGCATCATTACCTATTTAGTACTACCAACAAAATTGCTCAAGTAGTATCATATTAGGGCATTCCAGCTGTCAGCGAAACCTCCCTGGGCTGTTCTGTGACCACATCTACATATCAAACAACAATGTAGATTTTATAGTGAGATTGATCGACGAAAGAAAAAGTTTGAGGTCATAATATCAATTTCTTGACTTTAACATTTTTAGTTGTATGCTATATCCATCTTAATCTAGAGATAGATTATCGATGGAATTGTGCAGTTAGCATTAAAGGATCCAGGCCCAGATTCTTACTCTTCATATGTATGAAATTGGCCAAAACCTAGTATCTTTGTCTATGATGGTTATATAATGTTCGTTGATTTTCAGGGTTTTGATCCTACTATGTATGAATTTATATTACTGCACTCTCCAAATATATGCTTTGCACGAATGCAGCCTTCATACTGGATGTTCATATCATCCCCATGGTTGGCCCACACTGCAAATAGTTTTAAGGTAAAAGAATAAACAGGTCAAGGTAAAAAAGCTTAATATTTATCCAGCATAGATGCTTTAACACAGATATTAAGTATATTCTCACAGAGTTTGAAGATTTCGTCAATGTTGGGGTGTGAGATAATACTTTCTTTAGCATCGAAAGCACCAAGCCTTCTCAGTTGAAATTCAAGCATTTTCAGACCTAGCATGCTCTGGAAAACAAACATCATCAATTTGAGCATCTGTAAAGTGTAATGAGAAGTTGAAAAAAGTGGGTCCAAGTGTGTTAGTTGGTACAGGCATCTCTAGCGATTTAAGTCCCAAATAACAAACATATCAACCCTCCCTGTCATGATCCAGTTCCCACGACCAGCAAATGAATAATTAAAGAAAACGGAATGAATCTTGAAACTGTCTAGTTTTCGGAAATAACATTCACTCCCAGTCGGGACATTCTCAAGAAGCCTTTCTAGAAACAGAAAGGCAGTATAGATTATGAACTTGCAGATCATCTCTCGTTAACATGTATGTACAGAAAAATTATCAACTGAACATCTTGAAGCTAGTAAAGGAGCTTCAGATAGGCACCTAAATGTTAGATCGAACTTATTGTTCATCAATTAATTAATGTTTTTAGATAGTGGTCTAATGTTTTTACATAAGATTTTCAGTTTACCAAAAATAAAAATCATTCGAGCGCCATATCTGGTACTTACACAAAGATCCATATCTCTCGTCTAAAGAATATTGTATTTTATTCTTATGTTTGAGATCGCCTTAACTCACTCAGAACGTCGATGTGTTACTGAATTGACCCTTCCCTTGTTAACATAGGGAGCTGTGATGGATGTCAACATGAAGACTCCTCAACACTAATTAATGTCGATGTGTCACTGAATTGACCCTTTCCTTATTAGCATAGGGAGCTGCGATGGATGTCAACATGAAGACTCCTCAACACTAATTAAGTGGTACCAGAGATAGTTGAATCTGGACCGTAAGACCTTAAGCCAAGAAAGCCGCATCTACTTTAATTGATAATTTCTCACCTTCATCTAGAATTAGTGATGCATAAAATGCAATATCCATTGAAATTGGAGAGAATCCAGGTGTCAAGCACTCAAAAAGACTCACAAAAAAAACATTCTAGCTATGACACACAAAAAATCATTTTGGCCGGTCACGAAACTACTGAAAATATGACTTCTGGCAAGTTGATTGCACATCTAACATGGAACAAAATGAACAAATGACGTGTTTTTTCTTTTTTTGTGGAGATAAGTCAAACCACTCCTCTCTTAACCTACATTCAAAACAAAAGATCATAATCCTTGACTATGTAGAAAGGGACACACATTTATTTTGACATGGGCCTCAATATCTACATAATAATACACTCCACGAGACACAAGTGATGTAAGAAAAGATAAAGCACCCTATATCTCTCTCCTTTTTTTCAATAATATCGCAAAATTGCAAGACAAAATAGTAATACATTATTTGGTTAAAGTAGTCATACAGGGAATGTTTATGCAGTGATAATAATGTAAAAACTGTCATGCGGTATATAATAATGTAGGGATTCTAACGCGGTGAATAATAAATGAGTAATGCTATGCCGGGACTATCTACTATAAAGGGAATTTTTGCCGGTAAATACTCATCTATTTCTGTTTTTGGTCTTTTAACAGGGCATGGACAGCTTAAAAAGGCATCGAAAACCAGTCAGGAAACAGCCTTGGAAGCATCCCGCCACCAGTCCTCTGTTGATTGGGCGTTCAGGCTTTTGATCAGAAATCGCCAATACAAGAGAACCCTGACCGAACTACGCTCCAAACAGCCTCACACATTCACTTAATATTAACATATGCATTCAAGAATACCAATTTTACTTCAAAAAGACAACAAGTTCCTTTTATTTACTTAAAATATGCATCTAAGGAGTACCCATTTTACTTCAAAAATGAAACAATTTCCTCAAAACATGCATTTCAAAAAACCAACAAGTTCTTGATTTTTTCCTATATGTAGAATCCTGAGATAATCAAGTTTTTTGAACTTTCTTTCGAAGAATACCATGTTACTTGCGCAGATTGATCGGCCACAAAAATTGATTGGGGGTTTTGGTCGGACATCGCCGCCGAGAGTTAGTAGCAGCAATCCGATTTCCAACATCAATCCATTTATGCCCATCCACCCTAGAGGAGAGCATAGTATCAAATAATTCTTGAGTTTCTCTTCACCATGAGAATACATATGTGTCAAATCATTTCCATCATTATAGAATTCAGAAGAACCTGAACCAGAAACATCCCATGGATCATGTCTCCCTATACTGGCTATATCCTTTCAAGAAAGAGCATAAAAATTGAAATCAAACTTTGCAGGATTTGGGAACAAGCAGTCCTCTTTTTCTAAATTATTTATGGCAGTACCAAGAGACTATGTTCCATTCTTTCCAAAATTATACGTGAAAACAACTTCATGTTCGACAGAAGTTCCAATCTCATTTTCAGCGATGCAAGGAATAACATCTCAAAACCTGGTCTCGAGCAAAGGATCTAATGGCAGAGGAGACGGTCTGGACAAAAAATGGCAGGTCAGAACCATAATTTTTGGTCTGTAAAACGAAATCCATAAGATGATCGTCTTCATCCAGAATGACTTGGTTAATTAAACTTTTTCCTCTGAATCTCCAACAAAAATTTTGACCTCTCCGATGCCTTGCTCTGAATTTTGCACCAGGAGAAGTTCTCAAAATATATTTCCTTGCTTCAAGGAAACATTTGATTTAAGACCTGGATAACATCATTAGCTATTTCAAAGTCAACATTATAATCATCTTCAAGGCGATTCTATGGACGGGTTGGTGTTAACACATTAACTTGTTGGCTTTTTAAAGTTACATTCCCTAAATGACTCATCATCCCATCCTGAACCTGACCGGCAGTCAGATTTATAACTGGAACTAGCAAAAGCACTGAATTAGTTGTCCAGAAAATCATCTTCTGCAAGTAAAACATTAGATGAAAGGGGTTGGAAGAGTTTCTGGATTTACCAGTTTAGACAGACTGCGATGAGCAAGAGAGCCATCAATTGACCGACTTGAACTTTCGATCTGACTGAGGAATCTGAATTCGGGATCATGCTTTTCAGAGCACTTCCGCACAGAATATTCTGAGAAGATCGAATCTCTATCCTAACAGTGCACTTTCCTGTCAGTTTCTTGGCTGAGGGGAAGGAAGTAGATGTGTCGAATTTGCAACTCTGGGCCCTATACCTCTTTCTCCTAATCTCATAATTGATAGGTATATCTAAAATGAGGAGCAGGGAATGAGATAGCTATAGATGAGGAGGATACTTCAACAACTGAATTCTTACCTAGGTTTTCCAAAAGTAGCTTAAGAGAAAAGAAAGAAATAAAGCTACACGACGGCATAACACCACTAACCAACCTTCCACAATTTGTTCTCCCCCATCCCAAAATACCCACCCACCCCCTCCTTTTAAAGAGGTAGGTGGGGAACTACAGCCTACAGGGAAGGGAATGTGGAGTGGAGAAAGCCACAAGTACAAATAACATCGAATACACTGACTCCTATAAAAATGTAGACTGTAATTGCTCAATAACAGATTAAAAGATATTGCAGTCATTAGTAATATGGAATTCCTCTCTTAAACATACCATCAAATGCAGTTCCAGCACAAATATTTACTGAAATGCAATTTTGAAAACACAACGAAGTGTGCTTCAACTCCTCAACAATGAGAGAGAGCACACTTAAAAGGTATCAATGCATCTCCAAACATAATTGCACCTATGAAAATAAATAAACAAAATAAATAGAATGGCCACATCAGGAATCAATCCATCAATTATGGATCACCCCCACAATTAGTTGGCCTGCTATATTGATCTCCATTCCTCTGTATCTGTTCCACTCTATCCATATCGAAAAAAAATCATTTTCTTATGAAATAAATATGTGCTTAAATCTTGTTAGCTAGTGGAGTATTTCCTAAAATATGAATAATGTCATCAATACCGATGCTGGAATTTGACTAAAAAATTCCAAAATATAAAATAAAACTACAGAGATTTAAAATTTTGAAAGATCTTCTAACTCGTTTTCCCCAAGACCCCAACATCTTCTTTCAAGATCTGGTTGTTCCCTTAAAAAAAAAAAAAGGAATTCAAGGCCTTAATTCCACCAACTTTCCGTATAGATCACTGCTACTGTCCTTCAGAGGTCAAAACACAACGCTTCAACTCTTAGTTTCTCTCCGTAAGACATAAAACATGAAGCAACAAATAGTGACCAAGAGGAAAAAGCTAAACAGGATACAAAAAGTGGGTTGACCTAATCCCACACATCTCCTGCACCCATGTGCGTCTCGTGTCGACATGGGTGCAGCAGCAGCAACAATGAAGAGTCCATGCAACTTATGCTCTTATTGAGGTCAGGAACAAATGGAAGGAATGGTTTACCTTCTTTTTACTCCCCATCACATGTACTTGTGCACTCCCCTTGAGCTTGTAATTTGCTATCCCAGGTGTTAACAAATAACAAGTTTCATTTGCACACTTGGCCTGGGGACAGAAACATCATCTGAGCTACTAACATATTTCTTATTCAGATAGTATCAGAATTGTACCTTACCCTCCCAAGAAATTTGATACCATTACCTTTCATCAAAGAATACACAATCACCACAACTTAGGGTGGAAGATTGATCACATTGATGGGATGACAGCTGCGGAAACTCCAGAAAGCTTCTGCAGTCTCCTTACTGCTCTAGTTTCTGCATGATGGAAAAGATCATTAATATGTTGCACGCATTTTGTCATCATTACCTGGTATGAGTGGCAGGCACATCATGAACAGTCTTGTATTGTTATTCCATACAGCCATTATATTTATGTGAGTCCCCAAGCAGCCAAGACTCACTTGTGGCAAGGAATTTTCTTGCCTTGGTAAAAGGGAGGAGCTGACTGACATCTTCTACTCTAATTCTTCCTTATAAGCTCATCTGTTTTACTTCGATTTCCAGCACCAATCTATTTACATAAGTCCCCATGCACCCAAGAGGAGAGCATAGCTTGTGGTATTAAACAATTCTTAAGATTTTCATGTCTACAATCATCAAATCCAAGGTACAAACACTTGCCATATTGTAAACAATGGCGAAAACAAAGACCAACTTACTTTTTTACCTATCCTAATGGATACTTCCAGTCATATCTCAAAATAACTTCAACTTAAAAACCCTGCAATATCCATTTTGCATTCCATGAGTTCTAGTAACAATTTTCAACAAAGAAATGTCAGAAAAAGAGCTCAGAGACTCTACTTTAAAGCCACATGCAATACTGCACTTACTAAAGGATTTAGTATAATTCTGGGAAAGCATGCAACAACAAGGAAATAGTTCAAAGTTAGAAGAAACACCATGAAATGGAAATTTAATTCAAAAATCTCATAGACCCACCTGAGGTGCGAGCCAAGCAACCGTTTTTCAGCACAAGAGAAAATAAGTTTTACTGACCTTCAACAGAAAACAAAACCTCCACATCCTCAAGGTTGATGAAACAGAGTAATAGGATCAGAAAAGAGGAGCTCACGTGTAATTTCACAAAAAGGGTGGTTTGGTGAGGGGGGAAGGAAACAGATCTTCGCGAAGCCAAAACACGAATCAGCTCAAAAGCTTTGAAATCTCTCATGGCTGCAGCATCAGTTAAGCCTTATGAGACAAAGAAGATGCACCGTGAAATGGAACTTTCTCCTAAACTCATATGCCCACCTGAGATGCCATGCCAAGAAACAGTTTTCAACTCAAGAAAAAACATGTCAAATTGCTTTTTTGAGTTATACCAGAGAGAGTAATGAGAACAAGAAAATTAGGAAGTTGTGTAGTTTCACCAAAAGGGTGATTTAGTGACAAAAAAATTGAACTTTGTAGGCCAACACACGATAAGCTCAAACTGTGAAGCATCCATGGCTGCAAGCATCAGTTTGCCTATGAGACAGAGAAGAAGGACCATATAATGAAACTTCTCCCAAAATGTCATTAACCTGCCTGAAATGTCGTGCCAAGCAACAATTCTTTAGCTCGACAGGCAACATGTTTGATTAAACATCAACAGATGAAAACATTCATATCTCTTCATTGTGTATAAAACGAAGTAGAGTGAGTAATAAGAATGCGAAAAAAGGAAGTGCATGTGCAACATCACAAAAAGAGTGGTTCAGTGAGAAAGGAACTGAACTTTGCCAAACACGAATCAGCTCAAAAGCATTGACATCCGTCGTGGAGGCAAACAACAGTTAGCCTTTATGGGACAGCACCATGAAAAGGAAATTAAATTCAAAATCTCATAGACCCACCTAAGGTGCAGTGCAAGCAACAGTTCAATTAGTTCAAGAGAAAAAAAGTTTTATTGAACTTCCACGGAAGACAGAAACTCCACATCACCATCGTTTATAATATACATATGTGTCATTTCACGAAAAGGACGGTTCAGTGAGAGAGCGCGGGGGGGAGCTAAACTTTACAAAGCCAAAATACGAATCAGCTCAAAAGCTTTGTAATCTGTCATGGTCGCAAGCATCAATTAACCTTTCGAGACAAAGAAGACCACCATGAAATGGAACTTTCTCCTAAATCTCATGCCAAGCAACAGTTCTCAACTCGAGAAAAAACATGTTAAATTGCTTTGTTAAGTTATACCAGAGAGAGCAATAAGAACAAAAAAAGTAGAAAGTCGTGTAGTAGTGACAAAAAGATTAAACTTTGTGGTGCCAAAACACGATAAACTCAAAAGCAATGAAACCCCGCATGGCTGCAAGCATCAGTTTGCTCATGAGACAGAGAAGAAGAACCATAAAATGGAACTTTTTCCAAAATCTCTTAGACCCACCTGAGGTGCCATACCAAGCAACGGGTCTTTAGCTCGCCAGACAACATGTTTGATTGAACATCAACGCATGAAAACATCCAAGTCTTCATTGTGTACAAAACGAAGTAGAGTGAGTGATAAGAACACAAAAAGAGGACGTGCATGTGCAATATCACAAAAAGAGAGGTTTGGTGAGGGGTGTGAAAGAAACTGAACTTTGCCAAGTAAAATTAATCAGCTCAAAAGCATTGACATCCATCGTGGCTGTAAACAACAGCTAGGCTTATGAGAAAGAGAAGAACTGCCGTGAAATGGAAATTTAATTCCAAAATCTCATAGACCCACCTGAGCTGCCGTGCCAAGCAACAGATTAATCACCTTGAGAGAAAACAAGTTTTATTTAAATTACACCGAAGATAAGACCTTCACATCGTCATTGCTTATAAAATAGAACAAAGAGAGTAATAAGAATAAAAAAAAAAAGAGGAAGCTCATATGTAATTTCACGAAAAGGGCTGTTCAGTGAGGGGGAAAGAAACTAAACTTTACAAAGCCAAAACACGAATCAGCTCAAAAGCTTTGAAATCTGTCATGGCTGCAAGCATCAGTTAGCTTTACGAGACAAAGAAGACCACCATGAGATGGAACTTTCTCCTAAATCTCATGCCAAGCAACAGTTCTCAACTCGAGAAAAAACATGTTAAATTGTTTTATAAAGTTATACCAGAGAGAGTAATAAGAACAGAAAAAGTAGAAAGTCGTGTAGTAGTGATAGAAAGATTGAACTTTGTGGTGCCAAAACACGATAAGCTCAAAAGCTATGACACCCAGCATGGCTGCAAGCATCAGTTTGCCCATGAGACGGAGAAGAAGGACCATAAAATGGAACTTTTCCCAAAATCTCTTAGACCCACCTGAAGTGCCATGCCAAGCAACGGGTCTTTAGCTCGCGAGGTAACATGTTTGATTGAACATCAACGCATGAAAACATCCAAATCTTCATTGTGTATAAAACGAAACAGAGTGAGTAATAAGAATACAAAAAGAGGACGTGCATGTGCAATATCACAAAAAGAGAGGTTTGGTGAGGGGCGTGAAAGAAACTGAACTTTGCCAAGTAAAATTAATCAGCTCAAAAGCATTGACATCCATTGTGGCTGTAAACAACAGTTAGGCTTATGAGAAAGAGAAGAACCACCGTGAAATGGAAATTTAATTCCAAAATCTCATAGTCCCACCTGAGGTGCCGTGCCAAACAACAGATTAATCATCTCGACAGAAAACAATTTCTATTGAAATTACACCGAAGATAAAACCTTCACGTCCTCATTGCTTATAAAATAGAGTAGAGAGAGTAATAAGAATAAGAAAAGAGGAAGCTTATGTGTAGTTTCACGAAAAAGGGCGGTTTAGTGAGGGGGAGTAAAGAAACTAAACTTTACAAAGCAAAAACACGAATCATCTCAAAGGATTTGAAATTTGTCATGGCTGCAAGCATTCAGTTAGCCTTACGAGACAAAGAAGACCACCATGAAATGGAACTTTCTCCTAAATCTCATGCCAAGCAACAGTTCTCAACTCGAGAAAAAACATGTTAAATTGCTTTGTTAAGTTATAACAGAGAGAATAATAAGAACAAAAAAGGTAGAAAGTTGTGAGGTGCCAAAACACAATAACCTCAAAAGCTACGAAACCCATCATGGCAGCAAGCATCAGTTTGCCCATGAGACAGAGAAAAAGGACCATAAAATGGAACTTTTTCCAAAATCTCTTAGACCCCACCTGAAGTGCCATGCCAAGCAACGGGTCTTTAGCTCGCCAGGCAACATGTTTGATTGAACATCAACGCATGAAAACATCCAAATCATCATTGTGTATAAAAACGAAGCAGAGTGAGTGATAAAAATACAAAAAGAGGAAGTGCATGTGCAATATCACAAAAAGAGAGGTTTGGTGAGGGGTGTGAAAGAAACTGAACTTTGCCAAGTAAAATTAATCAGCTCCAAAGCATTGACATCATTGTGGTTGTAAACAACAGCTAGGCTTATGAGAAAGAGAGGAACCACCGTGAAATGGAAATTTAATTCCAAAATCTCATAGACCCACCTGAGGTGCCGTGCCAAACAACAGATTAATCATCTCGACAGAAAACAATTTCTATTGAAATTACACCGAAGATAAAACCTTCACGTCCTCATTGCTTATAAAATAGAGTAGAGAGAGTAATAAGAATAAGAAAAGAGGAAGCTTATGTGTAGTTTCACGAAAAAGGGCGGTTTAGTGAGGGGGAGTAAAGAAACTAAACTTTACAAAGCAAAAACACGAATCATCTCAAAGGATTTGAAATTTGTCATGGCTGCAAGCATTCAGTTAGCCTTACGAGACAAAGAAGACCACCATGAAATGGAACTTTCTCCTAAATCTCATGCCAAGCAACAGTTCTCAACTCGAGAAAAAACATGTTAAATTGCTTTGTTAAGTTATAACAGAGAGAATAATAAGAACAAAAAAGGTAGAAAGTTGTGAGGTGCCAAAACACAATAACCTCAAAAGCTACGAAACCCATCATGGCAGCAAGCATCAGTTTGCCCATGAGACAGAGAAAAAGGACCATAAAATGGAACTTTTTCCAAAATCTCTTAGACCCCACCTGAAGTGCCATGCCAAGCAACGGGTCTTTAGCTCGCCAGGCAACATGTTTGATTGAACATCAACGCATGAAAACATCCAAATCATCATTGTGTATAAAAACGAAGCAGAGTGAGTGATAAAAATACAAAAAGAGGAAGTGCATGTGCAATATCACAAAAAGAGAGGTTTGGTGAGGGGTGTGAAAGAAACTGAACTTTGCCAAGTAAAATTAATCATCTCCAAAGCATTGACATCATTGTGGTTGTAAACAACAGCTAGGCTTATGAGAAAGAGAGGAACCACCGTGAAATGGAAATTTAATTCCAAAATCTCATAGACCCACCTGAGGTGCCGTGCCAAACAACAAATTAATCATCTTGACAGAAAACAAGTTCTATTGAAATTACACCGAAGATAAAACCTTCACGTCCTCATTGCTTATAAAATAGAGTAGAGAGACTAATAAGAATAAGAAAAGAGGAAGCTTATGTGTAGTTTCACGAAAAAGGGCGGTTCAGTGAGGGGGAGTAAAGAAACTAAACTTTACAAAGTAAAAACACGAATCATCTCAAAGGATTTGAAATCTGTCATGGCTGCAAGCATTCAGTTAGCCTTACGAGACAAAGAAGACCACCATGAAATGGAACTTTCTCCTAAATCTCATGCCAAGCAACAGTTCTCAACTCGAGAAAAAACATGTTAAATTGCTTTGTTATGTTATACCAGAGAGAACAATAAGAAGAAAAAAAGTAGAAAGTCGTGTCGTAGTGCCAAAACACGATAACCTCAAAAGCTATGAAACCCAGCATGGCTGCAAGCATCAGTTTGCCCATGAGACAGAGAAAAAGGACCATAAAACGGAACTTTTTCCAAAATCTCTTAGACCCACCTGAAGTGCCATGCCAAGCAACGGGTCTTTAGCTCGCCAGGCAACATATTTGATTGAACATCAACGCATGAAAACATCCAAATCTTCATTGTGTATAAAAACAAAGCAGAGTGAGTGATAAGAATACAAAAAGAGGAGGTGCATGTGCAATATCACACAAAGAGATTTTTGGTGAGGGGTGTGAAAGAAACTGAACCGTGTGGCTTCTAACCTACGCAGTGTTTCTTTTACGCGGTTAAAAAAGAGGAAGGTCATGTGTAATTTCACGAAAAGGGTGGTTTGGTGAGGAAGGACAAAGAAACTTAACTTTGCCAAGCAGAAACAAGAATCAACTCAAAAGCTTTGTGATCTTTCATGGCTGCAAGCATCAAGTAAGCTTAGGAATTAGACAAGACACGCCAAGAAAAGTGGAACTTTTTCCTAAACCTCATGGTATCAATTTTCAGATATAGCATACGCCCTTTGTGGAGCAGGTGCAATTAGTCTTAATGATTAAAACTGCGTCAAATCATGACTTGCCATTATTAGTCGCTTCACTATATAAATCCCATCCTCTAACAGGACACTATTTTCAACTTTTAAGAAACAATCAAAGTCAAAAAAAATTCTTGACCATGTAAAGCAAAATAGCTAATCAGGAAACAATCCATCAATTATGCTTCACCCCCAAAATCAGTTAACAATGTAACTTCAAAAAGCAAGTTCTTGAATTATTGTAAAAAGGCAAGAATTCCAAGAAAATCAAACAATAGAGAGTTCTCAAACTTTTTTAATAGAGGCTCAATATTACTGACTGAACTGCGCTCCAAATAGCCTCACACTTCCGCTTATCTTTGCTTCAAAAAGATAAGAATTTCCTTCCGATTTACTTAAAACATGCATCAATTTTACTTCAAAAGGCAACAATTTTGCTTCTTTATTTTTTTCTTCAAAGAAAACCATTGCTTCAAAAAGACAATGGGTGACGGAAATTGATTTTAGGGTTTTGGTCGGACATAGTCGCCGGATAGTTAGCTGACGACTTCTAAATTACGCAGCGTGTCATTTTATAGTTATTGAACCGTGTGGCTTCTAACCTACGCAGTGTTTCTTTTACGCGGTTAAAAAAGCAAAAATAATAAACGCGGTAAAAGAAAAAAAAATACTTACTATAAAAATATATTATTTTTAATATTTTTTTATCCTAGTACTTATTTGTTACTAACTCTCTTTTTAATTTTAATTTAAAATTGGTGTATTTTAAATAAAAATCACATCAAATATATATATATATATATCATTCTAAGTTGATCTTACATTCCCTTTAGTCATTCAATAAATTTTTACCATGACAACTAAGCAATATATAATATGTGTAATAAAATACACCTAATCTATTCTCTTTTTTAATTTTATACATAAATTATTTAGAGTATGAGTTTAATATATAAACTATCATTTATTAGTCTAGAAACACACACCAGTAGTACGTGTAATGTGCTCTGACATTTATTTGAAAAACTTTGACATATGAAATTTACATGAATAAAAACATGTTATCTTGAAAAAAATTAAATAATATACTACTAATAGTAATAAAATATATAAAAATACCCTTGAATTTTAACTAACTCATTTTGAATTCTATTACCTGTGATGCCAAAAAATATGGATCTATCAAATTTCTTACACAATCTTCATTTGTCATTTGAACTGTTAATAAAAAAAATACGAAAAAGGGTTAAAATTAATAAAAATAACACTACACACACATTTAAGATGTTAAATATCAAGTTATAAACAAACTTTTTAATAATAAACTACTTATAGCATATTATTATCAAGTTATAGCATATCAAGAAAAAATATATTATTCTCATTAATTTTTTAAAATAATAATTAACTTATTTAAATAATTACATTTATTATTCAATTACCTTATTTAAACCAATGTAGTTAATTAAATTTATTATTTTAAGTTGCCTTTTTTAAACAGAACTCTTAATTAATGTAATTTAAATTAAATATTATATAGTTACCTTTTTTAAGATAACTACAAAATAGGGATTTTATATCTAAAACAATTACAGTTTTATTTTTAAAACTGTAAAACGTTATCTAAAAAAAAATTATATTCCCCAAATTTTTGTTCTTCCCCAAATCCTTTCAAAATCATTACCTTTGCACGCCTATCAAAATTATTCACCAAATTTCGTACGCCTAAATTTTTATTTTCACCAAAATTTCGCTCAAAATCGCTTCTCTCTTAACAGTCTTCTTCAAGAATTCTCAAATATTTGCATTCAAAATCTTCATTTTTAGCACTCAAATCTTCAACTCTTACGCTAAACAAACCGTACAATGTCGAAAAGAGGCAATGAAACACCGAGAAAAAGTAGAAGATTGAATGATGAAGCAAGCTCAGGCGATTTTCATGCTCCATCTTTCAAAATTTTATCACAAACACAATCTCAACCTTCATCTGTTAAAGTTAAATCTAGATCAGGAAAATCAAAAATAGAAAGAAAAAAAACATCCAAAGGAAAACGAGAAGAAGGGAAAAGGGAAAGAAAAGAAAAAAGTAGATGAATCTGAGAAAAGGACGAAAGAAAGAGGAAAGAAGAGGAAAGGAAAAGAAATCGAGGATTCATCAGATTCTGAATCTGATTTCGTAGAAGAGTTGATAAAATCAAAATCCAAAAAACCAAGAGGCTCTGAAATCGATATTTCACATTTACAAGAAGAAGAAGAAACAGTTAAACCCAAAAAAAGTTCAAAGGTTAGTAAAATTTAATTTTTTAAAACTTTTTTATGTTCTGTTATTTTTATTTTCTGTTATTTTGGTATAAAATAGTTAATATATAATTTTTGTGTATATAAATAATGTATAAATTGTGTATGATTCACTGTATGAAATTACAGATTTCTTCATATTACAATATCAATTGCTGAAACATGTATTTTTTATGTATGATTCACTGTATGAATTGTGTATGATTCACTGTATGAATTGTGTATGATTCATTGTATGATTCACTGTATATATAAAATGTGTATGAATTGTGTATAGATTTTTTTGTATCAAGTTTTTTCATACAATTTTTTTTTTCAATTTATATACAGTGATTGTGGTTTATACACATCTCTATTCGCCGAATACATGAGCAATGGTGTTTTTGATATATCACATATTGATATTGATTCAAAATATCATCGTCAAAGATATGCTACATTACTTAGGAATTATGGAAAATCAAAAAATGATGAAGGCGCAATCAGTAAAAGTGAAGTTACAGGCACAGTTGCTAGCAAGAAGGGTGGACCTCGAACTCATAAAGAACAAATTATGGACACCACCAACTATCCTACTCCAAAATTCCGTATCAGGAAGTAAAAATCTTCATGGCACAATGTACATTTTTTTGAATGAATTGTTTTTTTTTTAACTTATGAACAATTTATGTATTTTCCCAATTTTTTTATTATGACTACTGATGGTTTTATATAAATTATTATTGATTATTACTAAATGTGTCTCACTTTAACATATATGAACACTGTATGAATCATGTACGAAAATTATATGAATTATGAATGCCATATTAAAATTTGATATATAGTACATAGTAATGTTAAATTATTCCATAAATTTGTTTTGCATGAATACTATACACTTTCAAATACAAACAGAAACATATATTAATTATATTGCTGGTATAAATAATGTATGAAAAATGTATGAATTATATCATACAATTATATATTAATAAATGTGTATCACCTTCTTGCATACATTGTTCATACCAGTAATATACATACAATTTGTTTCTGTTTGTATTTTGAAAAAATATATATTTCAAAATACAAACAGAAACAAATTGTATGTATATTACTTGTATGAATAATGTATGAAAATTGTATGAATTATAACATATTATAATTTAATATGTATAACATAAACATACATTATTTTTTTATATGCAAGTATTGAATTTGTATAAATGTATAAATTTTGTATGTAGTCCCCATTATGAATGCAATAACTTAATAAATGTTATATGATTATATGAATTATTATTGTTAAAATTTGTTAATATATGAACAGTTGTATATACAACGTATGACATTTGTATGAAAAGTAATTTTATTCAATAAAAAACATTTTATAACAATGTAAACCCTCAAAAACACAGATTTAACAGTACGATATCATTGTTTTTGTACAGGATAATTTGAACAAGTCTTCCTATTGTATCCAACCTGATGGCATCTACTGCATGTGCTTTTTGTCCTCTTGAATTCCACATATGCGAACCCCTTCCACCGTTCAAGTTTGGATCTTCCTGGTGCTCTTTTTGGACCAGGCGACATCAATTTAGGATCTGAAATATAACTTGGTATATCTCATGTACTCTCGCACGGGATAGGCTCGACAGGAATGACATGAGCATCTTTGAAATTCTTGAGGCTATAAAAAGCAGAACAGAAATCTGCTTCATGTAACTTCCTGTACCGGAGAACAGCAATTGCATGACCACACGTGAACAGGAATCCAATGACCACACGTGAGCTGCAGATCAATTGGTAAGAGGCAATCTCCTTGGGAGGGATGTAAAGGAGCCATAGGTCACGGGTTCGATTCTCCCTTGAGATTGCATGCCAATAAGAGGGGATTAAAAGAGCGAATGGCCGCCCATGGCAGAGACAATACCTGAATATGTGGATCCCGAGGGGGTTGTCACAAAAAAAATGTGAATCTCGAGGGGGGTTGTCACATTATGAGAAGGAAGTAAAAAAATTGAAATATCATATCCTAGTCCACATTAATCTTGTTCACAATATTTGTTTGTTTGTTCACATTAATCTTGTTCACAATATTTGTTCGATACACCATCATTTCAAATCAATAAAAGGAGTGAAGAAATCAAGACAAAATACTACACTTCATACAAATCAAATTAAAGTTTAAAAAAAAATGAAAGTGTAGAACTGTATGATTACTCACATAATTTCAGAATGCCAACAACCTTGATTCATGTAGGATTTGCCTTACTTGCAATAAGTTTCATCACTTTGCATGTCTTTATTCTTTATCTTGATATGCATTTAAAGAATCTGTGATAATGATTAAGTTTCACAATTCTCAAATCATAAGTTATTATGAACAAAATTTGCAGCCTACAAATGATCATGACTATTTGATTTAATGGAAGTAGAAGAAGAAGATCAAAATTTGTTGATATAAAATTCTATTTATAGACAACAAAATGTAGTGTGAACAAATATTTATTGTGCCTTATCATAAATGTTACAACTATTTGGAAAAGTTACAACCTATCAGAAAGTTCACAACCTTTCGTAAAAGTTACAACTTTTCATAAAGTCGCAACTCTTCACAAAAGTCACAATTTTTCATAAAAATCGTAACTCTTCATTAGAGTCACAACTTTTCATAAAAGTTACAACTTTTGATTAAAGTCGCACCTCCTCGTTAAAGTAGCAAAATTTCATAAAAGTCACATCTTTTCATGAAAGTGGAATGCTAGTTTTGAAAAAAAATAAATTTAAAAAGAAATTCTTGCTTGTGGTGGAGCCACGTAGACGCGTCTATGGTTCTAATTTATATAAATATATGATTTTAAACTTTTTATTTTCAAAGATAAATAAGCAAAAAAAAAAGGTGAATAAACAAAAAAAAAACGAAAATTAATGACACAGTACTTACATGACTATGATGTTGCAGATAAGAGTAACATTCTATTCTTAAAGTTGTATTTAATTCATTCAAAGATGAGAAGGTATTTAAATACCCAAATAGGTTAAGTGGTAAAGTAGATTGTGCTACCAAAATTTAGGGATTTTTTTATGCATTTTCTCAAAAATTAAAGATTGTAATATTATACCCAAAAAATATTGTTAAAAAAAATTATATTATCATTTTATTTTCAAAAAATAAAATTCAAGTCCACCTTATTTTACTCTACGCTCCTAATTTATTTATTTATTTTTATATATTTCTCGTATTATGTTAAATGTACACATTAATTTTTAAAATTTTATTCACGTACAATAAAAATTTTATTTTAAAAAGTCTTACAACAGCTAGCAAAATATTTAAGCCTTGGAAAACAAGTTAATAATGCATAAGGTCACCTTCAACGGTATATCCAACTATGCCCGCAACCCTTTAATACAATTGGCGTTCGATATCAATATTGATTCTCAATTAAATTTGAATTCTTATATTATTGCATGGTTCATTTTATTTGTAAAACTTGAAATCTCTAATTAAGGGTGGAGAAATCTCAATCGTCATTCACCATAAGTAAAAGAAAGAGTCTTATAGGAGAGGGATGTGTAATTTTAAGTATGAGATGTTAACTTAAAGAGTAAACTAAACAGGGGGAGATGGGTTTTTTTTCTTCGTAGTTTCATGAATGTTAACCATTACACTCTCCGCTAAATTCATGTAACAATAATCTTTTATTTTGAATAACCTTTACATGCATGTAAAAACAATTTCACATACACTACAAGAATAAGAACACAATTCTTCTAAAAAGAATAGATTTCTTGAACTTCCTTGACATTTCTGATACCAATATATTCTAAAAAATAGAATGCATGCAAGAATTCAAAAGAAAATCTAACAATAGATAGTTGTCAAACTTTTCTATTTCTCCTTTTAAGTAGAACAGAAAATTGATTCAGGGTTTAGGGTTTTGATCAGAAATCGTTGATACAAGAGAACCCTGACCGAACTGAGCTCCAAATAGCCTCATACTTTCGCTTAATTCTCCCATCTCACTCAACATAGGGCTGCAAGAATATTAACTTTCTTTGATTTCCTTTAAATTTTCTTAAAAGAGAATACATGCAAGAATTCAAAGAAAAACTGACAAAGAAATCAAGGTTTAGTAATCATTTAAACTTGACACAATTTGTAATCAAATTCGTGTGTCCTCGTAGTAATTGCAGTTAAGTAGAATAACTGTTATCCATAACAAAACTAAACTAGATTTTCTGCTGTAAACACATGCAACAAAATGCATGGAGAACATAATATACAAAAAGAAAATGTTTCAAGTTATCTCGAGTTCCAAAAAGTGTTCCCAAAAATAGATAGCAGACTCAAGTTAGCACTGATCAACTAGCTTAATTCGCATTGCATGTTAGAACCACCATACATCTTCCCATTGCCTGCAACTCTTAAGATGTTACTATCCTCGAATGTCATCATTCCTTCCAAAGTGGCCATCTGAAAAAATGTATGTTTCAAGACACGGAGAATGATTATTAATCATCATGAAAAATGACAAAAATGAAATGAGAAACAACAGTTCCATTAATAAAGTTCTCCTCGTAGCATCAGACGTTCCTAGTTCACATAATTACACCTCTGTATGTTAAGAAGAAGATGATACCTGTATAATTTATCTGATGTGACCTCCTCCACCACCATCCTAAGATGTACAGGAACATCATGACTTGCTCTTATCACAGCCAACTCCATAGATTCTCCAACATTATTCCACATGTTTTCAAATAGCTAATGACAATTTGAATAAGAAAAGATAAGATTATTAATACCAATAAGAAAATGCATTTTTTATCACATGTTTCTTTACTCCTTGTTTTTGTTGATAGTGTTTCTGTGTATCAAAGTACATTTACTAAGTTGCATTGATCAACTTGAAGAAAAGGAGGGTTTTTTGGCAGAGTAGCACATGAAAGCCTTTTAAGCATATTGCTTGAACTTTCCAAAAATGTTATCGCACTTGTGTCGGATCTGTGTATTTTTGGAGGATCCAACACGCACCCATCAACATTTTGAAGAGTCCGAGCAACATAGCATTTAGGTACAGTAAAGGAACTCAATATTCAACTAGTAATAGCATCAATTAGACCTAATAAAAATCCAGGCTTGGCCTCAGATTTGTTGGCTTAGCCATAGCCTGGCCTAACAATTCATCCCTTTTTACTTGGGAAATTCATACTTTTAACATGCATAATAAGTGGGATTGAGTGGGTGTACATAGGCAGTCTCAAAAACATACCATACAACTAATGACAACTATCTTCATAACCAAAAAGCTAATGCAAATGAAGTGATTATTATGTCCTAAACAATCGTGCAAAAAAAAAGAGGGAAAACACACTTGAATAAGTTTCTTCACTAATTTTTTACATTTGCTATGTTCCAACCATATGTTGCTATCTAGCGACTATGAGTCGTGTACAAATAAAAACACCAGAATAACTTATTCTTGACCTGTAAACCATCGACTGGTAGAGTTGCCAGATGCCAGATAGTTGAAAATTCCAACATGTAATACAGTTGACAAGATGAAGAATATACAAATCAACATTCATAGAGCTACCAAATATAGGCTAGATTAAAGCATGGCTCATGTCCCAACTCCCAAACAGACCATAGGAAGACTGAGATATGAAAACAAGTGAATTTATAGCTCATGTCCCAACTCCCAAACAGACCATAGGAAGACTGAAATATGAAAACAAGTGATTTTATTATCTCACAGAAACTAAAAACAATTTATAAATTTTTAGACCAACTAATGCCTTCCTGGCATTAGAGGTAAGAACTGCTGTAAATGAAAAGGGGAAAAGAATAATTAGCATCCTTGGAACCACGACATAACAGCCCTTTCTTAGCTACAAATGGAAGGGTGGTCTACTGGTTTCAATAGTAAGATATGAACATTAACAACAATAGCATCCACCATTTAAATGACAAAAAAACAACATGCATGATAAGACATTTTGCATACTGCATTGGATGATAAACAGAAAGCAAGTAAAAAGATTCAACTATGATGATACAGATGAACATGCAAACAGATATAAGGAGGACTAAACTTGTGAAGAAGCAACCACCGTATCCTGATGAAAATTAGTAATTTTGTATTGAACCATAATAATGAACAACCATATCCACAATCACTACTCCAACAAGGCGGAAAAGTGACCTGTGAATAGTTCTCTCTCCCTAGCTTAATGAAGGTTCTAAATGATGCAATTAAATACACTCTTAACTATAACAAGAAGAAAGGCAATAACGTACCTCCAAGTAAAAACGAGAAGAAAGGTTTTACAAGAGGAAAGGTAATAATTTACCTCCAAGAAACTGTGAATTCTTGTTCCACCAAAATGAACTATAACATCATTGTGTTTTACCCCAGCGGATTCAGCAGAAGAACCAGGTACGACCTAAACGACAATTTATCAAATTATCCAGCAATTAGAAAGAATAATTTAACAAAATTTGAACTAACAGCATACATGGTTGAACAATAACTTTGACTCTTTTAGAAACAGTTCATAATAACTTTGTGAAGAGTTAATTTGTAACTTTATTTCTCTTGCTTAGTGTTGATCCTCTAAATACAATTCCTTATAATAATTTTAAAAACATTGACAATGAGGATTCCAACTTGTTTGGGATTGATGATTTGTTCTTTTATGCCCCCTTTTATACAAACAGGCACCTCACATCCATCAGAACGTCTTGCACCCAGACCTGGCCTATTCTACCGTAGTGCTATGACATCCCTACTTACTTCAGCAATCATAAAATAGAGGGGGCATCAATAGCATCTAAGAGATCAATTCTCCACAAAAAAATCTTTAATAATAGAGAGCATACCTCTTCAACAATGACACCTTTCAAGACGTCAGGCAACTTCGGAATAATTCTTTCTAGAAGTTCTAGGTTAGCTGCATAAAGGTTAGTTACTTCCATCCCGAGCCAAGGTGGACGTGATTGACTATGATAGAAATAAAACTTAAGATTAGTACAAGGTATTGTGTGCTTAGATTTTCAATAAGCACAAACTCTCTCCATTTTTCCCCATTATATTTTGGTATGTACAAGCAGATTATCAAGTAGAAAAAATATTTCCTAACATTAGAAAAACCATAAGAGGAATAAACATTTTAGGGACTGACACACACCAAGAAACAGAGATCCAGTATGGATATGAGAATGGCACAACATCATATATAATCACCAAAAAATCCAGAATTCAAGGTTATAATTTTATTTCTTTTGCAAAATTTTCTATTCAATCACTTGCAAAAGTTATTAAAGATTCTTTTTTTTTTACACAATTGTTTGAACTTCACGGGGGGAGGGGGTCTTTCTTCTGAAAAGAGAGTGCTAATCGTTTATAAGTTCCTTTTTTAAAAAAAAAAAAGAACGCCAGTGTACAGATTATTTATCATGATCTTTCCCTATCCTCAGACCTTTTATTTGTCCTACTTTCTAATATCGCCATACTCTAACTTGTAAGCTTATTACAATGCTGACTATAATATGTAGCATTTTCAGAAACCCCAAAATACAACTTAGTGACAGTTTAAGCGATATTAGAGATATTAAGGTCTACATAAGATCAGTATAGCCGACACTCTAGTTGCTATATGATGAATTAGGTAACACAACAAGACCTTACAACGTGAGGTATCAATTGAGGATATGCTGGCCGACATAGTAGTTTTCTGATTTGTCTTTTTCTTTCAAAAATAAAAGCAAAACCTGTTCGCAGGAAAACATTTAACTTCTCATTTATCAAATTAATATTAGTCATTTTCAAGGTATATTTTCTAAAGCACTAAAGTAGTTCACCCTTCTTTATAATCTAGTTTAATAGAGGGCAGAATAAGCAATTTTTTTGTTCCATAAACTCCAACCCATGCTCCTGTTTTTCTGCCTATCAGCATGGCGTTGGAAGGGTCTGTACCTATACCTCGGAGGTAGAGTACTTATAAAATCAGTGATGAATACCATTCCCACATATATGATGAGCTTGTTCCCTATACCCAAGATCGTTGAAAGGAAAATCAATCCCCTTGCAAAAAATCAAATGGGTTTGGGTAAAGAACCTCAGCTTACACATCGCTTGTCCATCGCAGAAATGGTTATGGAGAAGGTTCATTGCAGAGAAATATGGGCTACTGAATCACTGGACTACAGTGTGTTGAAAACCATCACAAGGATATGGCCTAAGTTTAATACCAACATGTCCATCAAACTGGGAGATGGTATGCAAGAAAATTTCTGGAATGAACACTGGTAAGGGAGAAGACAGTCTAAAAGCCCTATCCCAGATCTACATATCATATGCCTACAAAGAAATGTCATTGTCTCTCAGATGTGGGCCCCACAAAGATGGGACCAAATCTCCAGAAGGGCTCTAAATGATTGAGAAGTTGATAGTGTAGCAAGTTTGCTTCGGGTACTGAACACCTCCTCGGGCATTTCAGTTAAGTCTTCACAGTAAAGTAATCCTGCTAATGGAAGATGAATAATAATTGGTCATTGACAATGGCTTGGCCTTGGAAGTTAATTTGGAAGATCAAAATTCCTCACACAGTCTCTTGTTTTACATGGCTTGTGATTGGAAGAGCATGTTTAACTCATGAAGTGCTAAAAAGAAGAAGCTAACAGATTTGCTCAAGGTATCTTCTGAGTGGCCAAGAAGCAGTGATTAATGGCCATTTATTCCTGCACTAGAAACATGCTCTCTAGTAGGGTAATGCCAAGACTACTTTTGAAATGTGTTAAATAACTGGAAAGGAATTGGAAGAAGAGGGGCAAAGGAAGACTGGTGGAAGATTATCACAGTATACGCATTCGGTGGACAATAAATAAAGAAAGAAATGCAAGATGTTTTGAAGCCAAAAGGAGCACCATCCAGAAGATCAAGAATGGATTGCCTCAGCTTTCTCTATGTTTCGTGTAAACAAGAGTAAGGTGGGGGAAGGAAGCTTTAGTTGATTTCATACGGAAAATGTAAAGTTTATAGAAAATATTGAGGATGTACTCTGCCCCCTGTGGATTGTAAGTTCCCACCTCGTCATTTTTTGGATGATGAGATTTTGTGAATATACAATTACCCTCATCTAAAAATTAAAAAAAGCCTTCTGCTAATTTTGGTCACTGTCAATGCCATCACAGCAAACAGAAACGCAAAGGCAAGTTTGTTCCTATGGCTACCTATTTGAGTTCTTATATGGATGGACTGGTTATTTTGAAGTAGTACATAGTGAAAAGTATTTCTATGGTCACTGGACAACTTCTTGGATTGAATGCTAGCAGTTTTCTCAAGCCACCAACTGCTTTTGCCCTTTCTCAATTCAGTAGGAGGATGAAGAGACGGAAGCTGATGTAAGATTACACACTTGAGGGAGATAAATTTAACAATGACACAGATCATCAGGTCGACTATGGTTAAAGAGTTCTGCTGCAGATTATTTTTTCCGTTTCTTATTTTTGTAAGGTAGGTGTGAAGCAAAAGTAGTAAATGGGTTTGAACAAAAGTACAAGTCATTATCCAATACAGAATTACATCCCAATTGGATAAGGAGATCCAAATTTACTTTTTGGTTAGAATAATGGAACCAGCATTCTTGCATATTCATTGTCAAGAGACATACCAAGAGTCCAGAAATGCCACCATGGCAAGACTTGCCTCAAATAACTCAAGGACTCCACTGCTAGTAATTGTATTAGCTTAAAAATTGCATATATTATCTACAGATTTCATTCTATTCCATTTTTCTAGACATGGAATTCGAAAATTATTTGTCATTTCTCAAACAGATGAGTCAAAAATAAAGAGAACCAAAAATCAGGATGTGCAAGTACTTCAGCAGCATGGAAGTTAGAAATATACACACCAACATTAAATATCAACCAAACACCTTATTGAACTACAAAAGCTGTAAGACAATATAAAGAAAAGAAGATCCCCCTAATGACACAAACAAGTGGAATATAATATTTAGACCGTACTTCTAGGTCTCATGTGCATTAAACTACAATTAAGCTTCTCCTTATCTAATCAAACATCAATTTAAGATCTATTCTGAACTACAAACAAAATACAGTACATTTTACATAACTCAACGAGTTCCTATTTCTTGAACTTCACTACAAATATTCACTTCACATGCCTGTTTTGGCAGCTTCCAATGCATCAAGCATCCCAAAGACCATTAACTAATTACAAATGACTTAAAACAAGTCCTTTGAATCACATCAATATAATAAGCCGCATTCAAGAAGTAGAGAACCTACATAACTACAAAATATGTTCAATGTAAGATGTCTTGTAGAAATTTTTGGTGTGTCAATAGGGTCGGCTATACAATTTGAGACACCGTGCTTGCTTTACAAAATAATAAATTTATGAGATTCAGGTATTCTACTGGCAGTTGCAAAAAGAAAAATGGTACTACCACATAACAAGCAAACAATAAAGGCAAAGATTCAGAGCATACCCATATTTCTTATGATGCTCCCACCATATGGAAGCTATATTGATTGGTAAGAACACAGAACAGCCCACGGCATAAAAGCAGATACCAATGATTTTTCCATAGTGATTAATCAGTGGACCCCCATCACCGCACTACAATAAAGAATGAATCAAGAAATCCCTAAATTAGCAGTTATTCTACTAAAAATACACATGATATCATAAAATATGCATATCATTTGTCATTGATTAAGAATATTTCCAAAAGCAAAATGAACAGTGCCACTATCCACCAAAGTAAGATGTAAGCGTGAAAGAGAGTTTTTGTTTAAAAGAAAAAAGGGTGTGAAAGAAGTTACTATTGTAATTTGCAAGTCGTCATGAAAAGCTCTTTACAGTAGAAATCGCCATAGTGACATCGATCAATGCTACAATGATCAACCATTAAAAATTTGAGAGATAAGTCGCAATAACCAACATAGCAAACAGGTATGCAATGAGAGTGTACATGTGTGAGAGTCGGTGTGCTGGAAGGAAGTACACATTATGTTTAACAAAAACAACTTACGTAAATGAGTGAACATACTTTTACCACCCATAATCCACCATACCCCTTACTTTTTAGATATTAGAAAATAAAGCAAGGATTTGGGGAATTTCTACCCTCTCAATAATCAGCTAAGGCTTGTCTGCTTATGAAAATGATTCCAATGCGCACAAAAGATGCATTCGACATGCTTTGTCAAAATATACACCAGTAGCAAAATCGCCAAAAACATTGATGTGATGCTTATGGACCACAAATGACTAGGAATAAATCCGTTTCTCTAAGGGCATGCAATTACAAACCAAGACTCAAAATGAACAGGTGATAACACATAAATCCCACCTCTTTATGTTCAAAGAAGTGATAGCATCAAAGTAAAATTCAAATCAAACACCAACCTGAATTCACCAGGAGCAGCCATGATATCGTATGGCTTCCTATTAAGCCGACCAAGTGCAATAATTGAAACTCCAGGAAAAAGATCAAATGAATTTGAATGAGGGCAAAGTTGAAATGACTTCTTCTCAGAATCCTGTAGTTGGCTTGGATCAATCACAATGGAATCATTTAAATAAGCCAGGGATGCAACTGGGAGTAGTGTGTCTAATTGAATCTTTATGGCAGCAATGTTGTAGTGGAAGTCATATGATTCAATATGACCATCAAATGATCTCCCATCGAATAGGTGCACGATAACCTAAACATATAGTTATTATTATCAATTTATCTAGCAAAATTTGGCAAGAAATAACATGCAAAGGATCACCAATTATCATGAGATTGACAAATACAAATTTGGTCAAGAAATTATTAGACAAATTTGACAACATAACAAAAATATACCAACCTTGATATTATCTACTACAGAATTTCTATTTGTGGAACACCTGAGGAGACTTGCAGTGGTTAATATTATGTTGCAAGTGTCTACACTGTCTACAATAGTTCCAGAACATTGAAATATCATCTCTTCCCCTGACAATAAACACAAAAGTAACAATAATAGGTAAAACCTAAACAAAAGTTAGGACTAAAGATAATAAAAGTGAAAAGATTAAGTCTCCAAGCAATAAAAGAAACAAGAAGCATTCGTCCATATCAATATCCTCATTCAAAAAAAGCAGAAATCGAGTGTTTGATCAAAGAGATGTTGGCTGCGGGAATCATTAAAGCTAGTACTAGTCCATATTCTAGTCTAGTTTTATGGGTTAAGAAGAAGGATAGAAGTTGGCAATTTTGAGTGGATTATCGGGCTTCTAATGATATCACAGTCCCCAACAATTTTCCAATACCATGCATTGATTAATAAAAAAAAATGGGAAATTCTGGGAGAGTTCTAGCCTCTCGAATGTCTAGAAAGGTTATGATCAGTTTAATCATAATTTATGGTGTTGGTAGTGTTCTATTGATATGTTTTTTACAGACTTCTTGTTGAAATATCAGTGTATCTAGTGTGAACCAGCAGTACTTGTTCTTTTATTTACTATTTCAAGTCCATCAGAATCCAAGCAAGCAACTATGAGAAAATAAAAGATTTTTTTATGAACAAGTACCAGAGTATGATTCAAGACTGACGACAGATCTGGAAACTGTTAAAGCAGCCCTCTTCGTGTAAGCATCTAAGTGCCTATTTTGCGGATATAAATAAAATCTTCGTCGCTTTGGTTTGTTATTCATTGATTCCCTTTCAACATCAGGACCTATATTATTTCACAACAAAACAACATAAACAAATGAATTTTAATATCAAAAGAAAATAGAAGAAAAAAATTATGAAACTCACAGTGCACCTTTGGCACCCTCTTCCAAGGAGTCACTCGCTCCCTTTTGATACCATGAAAACTCATAATTTACCTACAAAGTAAGTCACTTTTACTCTTATAAATTTATCTCAATGATTAGATATAACAGAAATACTCATACGGGATCAAAATAATAATAATAAAGTTGGATATCTGATCTCAACATCGCTGCTTCATATCAAGTACTCTCCCGTATCACCACTGTTATGTGACAATACTTCTCACAATGAAAAAACCTAAACTAAAACAAGGCAGTGACAATTTTAATAGATGAAAAAAGGCTTGATATGTTGTACCAAATCATATCAATAAAACATCACCACATCCATAAAACATACCAAAGTCGGATACTTGAACTAGGTTAGAACACATAAAGAATAATAGGGATATATAACAAAAATATCAAGAAAAAACACATTTGAATAAAACACACGAAGGAACAATAGAGCAGGAAAAAAGAATCAACGACAACTAAAATAAATCAGACAAAAGAAGCCTTCCACTCTATATCCTGCATTCCATGTTTCCTAATGGAAAATTATGTTATTATGTCCCAACTACCAATGTTGATAGTCTTCGTTAGAAAATTTATGTATCAGTATTATTAATTCCTTGATGGTAGGATATTCAGCCTATGTCCTATGATGTATAACTGATAAATAGCAAACCATGCTATTAGGCTATTAGCAATATAAGGGTTATTAATACACGTATAAACACAGTTAAAAGGCAAAACTACCATTAATACACCAAACCAAATATACCCAACATAATACAACTAATCTCGGCATTAAACTAGGGTTTATATATTACTATTTTGATGGTCAATGAAAGTCTGTGCAACTCCATCACTAGATTAGTAAGTTATTAGCTTAACTCGAATCAATCTTTGTGTTTCATTCTCTATTTTGAACAAACAAATACATCGTCCATGAAAAGAGTAATTAAAAATCACGATAAAACACCCATTAACATCAAAGAAGACTCTCAAATTTCAAATATGATCTTACCAGACTGAGAGTCCGCAGAAATCGCAGAAAAGCGACAGAAAACAAGGAAGCATACAAGTCTAAGCCAAATCACAGTAGTTATCGAACTTGTATTTTTTATTAAATAACAATGTAAATAGGTTATTTATAGGGAAAATTACAAGTAAATTATATAATAAAGGCTATAGTTTAATTTATTTACTTTATATAATTATAGTGGGTTTTTTTTACTATAATTAATGAGGTACACCACCTATTCTTAAATTAATTATATAAAATGTTTTTTTTTTAATTTTGTAAATAATTTTATACAAATCAATATTATCTCTCCTATTCATATTCCACTTTTTTTTTCTATAATCAATACTTCTATTCGATTTTGAATTTCCAATTGGCAAAAATTCAATTTATTCCTTTCGAAATTGAATTCAACTTTCACAGGTAATCCTAAAATTTAGTCGTGTACAATTTTTTTTCCTTATTCAACAATTGTATATGTATTTTGTTTCTTACTTTTTTTCATATTTTTTTGGTGAAATAATCGATTGTTCTTGTTAAATTACAAATTCTTCAAAATCAAAATGAATGAATCATCTTCATCTATGACGATTACTAGAGGTATTCCATTGCATGTCAATTTTGTTGACAATTTACCTTCGTTTTTAATGAGTTTAACTCAAATTTTTGTGTTGATGTAGAGTCTATGGTAAAATCCAAACAAGTTCAACATGAACAAACAATGGAAGAATTGAGATCAAAGAAAAAATATGACCCTACGGCAGTTCAAAAAGTTCTTAACAATTCCAAAGCTAGAGGCATTAAAATTGTACAAGGAGAAAGAAAGAGAAAAACAGTAAACAGTGGTTCAAAGGAGAGTGCATTTGAAATTGACGGATCTAAAGAACATCACAATCATGAGGTAGTGGCTTAAAACACAACTTTAGATACAATATTTTTGTTACTTAGGTGTCAATATACAAAAAATTGTTTGTTTAAGTAATTTTGTATTCACGTAATTATATATAGTATATTGCATGTTTAGTACACATATGTTTTAGTTATTTGTATATATCATCCATCATTTATTTGTATATTCCTTTAGTTATAATACGTGTCGGTAGATTTGATTAGTTTATACATATTTTAAGTTATATATAATGAATAATATACTAAGTTTTAATAGGGATAGAAGTGGATTGTATATTAAATGCTCCATATTATTTTTGTTTTTGTATACATATACAAAAAGTAATTGTATTTAGTTATAGAGATGGAAAAATTTCATATATGATCATAATTTGTATATTTTAGTAGTTATATGCAAATTATTGAAGTTAAGTATATATATATTATTGTAATACATACAAAGTCATTTAGACAGTTGAATATATTGACATGTTTAAGTACTATTCACGTACACAAACTAATATACAAAAAAAGTAAGTTTGTATATATATACAAAAGAAACGCAATTACAAATGTATATTTAATTTATTCTTTTTTTTTGTTATGTATACAAAAAATGTATTTATATGTAGCCCTTGATTGAAATAATGTAGCTTTTTCCCGTTTTTTTTAGGTAGTCAGGTTTATTTGCAAGAACCATGAAAAAAGGACAATTCGCATGCAATGTTATACGCAAATCAATACATTGAATGAGCTTCAGAATAAACTGCCTCCAAATCAATATAATCGTATATTTACATCATTGTGTTTTGCACAGTTGACAACAATGAGACGATGTCATGTGCAAGCGCAATTGTTTAGATGCTTTATGGTGAGGGAGTTGAAAGGTAGTTCTGTCAATGCAATACTTTTTTATATAAATGGCACAACGCTTCAATTCACAATCAGGGAGTTTGCAATAATTTCTGGTTTGAATTGTTCTGATAATGTTGCTGACTTCTGCTTTGATACCGATCAACTCAATAGAATCATTGCTGAGTATTTTCCAGGAAATTATCCTGTCACTAAAGGTCGATTGGTTGAAGCTTTTAAAGCAAATTGATACAAACACTTTTATATTGGTTGAAAGTTTTTAAAGCTTTCAAATCATTCACATAAATCATATATACCATTAATACAACACTTTTATACAATCATATTAATAAATAGTGATAAACTTATGTTTACACTGATTTTTTTCTAATATACAAAAACCACGTCAAAAAAGTATATAATTGTATCTTATGGGTTTTCATCTTAAAAAATTTATATATTTTTTCAACATATACATTACTTCAGTATTTGTATATGCAAAATTAGAAATCACAAAACGTATACTACAAAACTATATCACAGGTAATGCAAATAGATACAAAATTAAAATTTCATACTTATATACAATAAAATAACACGACCTTTGTATACAAAAAAACTTAATATACAACTACAAATTGAAATTACTGCTACAACATACTGCCGTTTATGATAAACATTAAAATCAGTTTTCAAAAGAAAAACACTCCACAAAAAATTATATACACTTATGTTATGGACATATACAATTCTCAACACACTAAGGAACGCACATATATCCAAATTTGTAAATCCAATAGTACATTGTATAATTATTGCAATAATAAACATGAATTTTCATCCAATGAACCATTAAATGTATTCGAATATACAGAAAAAAAAGAAGATGAACTGTTGCTTCGTCAAAGCGCACAAACAAGTTAATCTTGTCTTTCAATTGTTGTATACTTCTTATTTTTTGAAACAAAATAATGAATTTGAACGTTTACCTTAAATTATGGCATTATCTAAATTTGTTGTTAGCTTATTTAACGCTTCAGTTACAAGCCACTTTTTCTAAAAGAAAATTGTAAAAGAAACGTTATATATAAAATTAAAGATACCTAAATAACTAAACAATACTCATAAAATATAATTAGGTAAACTATACCCATATAATATTATTTAATCAATTAAGTTTGCCATATATAAAATTTTCTCAATAATATTTCATAAAGTATGTCGTGAACCACCTACTCTAACCTAAGGTATTGGGCCTAAAAGACCCAAGTGTATCACAATATACACTTTACCACATCTATAAGGGCAAATTTCACATATAGCAAACAAAAAATTCGTATTTTTTTATAGCAAAGTTTGCATAATTGCGCTCCATAGCAAACATATAACTGTATAATTCACTATACATATACAACTGTATAATTCGCTGGCCTATATTGTATAATTCGGTGGCCTATTTCACTACAATTGTATAATGCGCAATTGTATAATTCGATGACCTATTTCGCTGCAATATGTGTATAAATTTTGCTTCGGATACAATTGAATCGAAGTAAAATGTTTGTATATTGTATAATTATAAGTGTATGGGAAGAAGATATATGTTTTTTCTCGCTTTATACAAAAACAGAAACATAATTTATACATTTCTGTTGTATAAAGCGAGCGAAAATTGTATTTCACTGCAATTGTATAATTCGCTGGCCTTTTTCGCTGCAATATTCGTATAAAATTTACATTTGTATACAATTAAATCGAAGTAAAATGTTTGTAAATTGTATAATGAAGCATATAGCATGAACATATATGTTATTTGCATGTGTGTATACAATTTTCTCTCGCTTTATACAAAACAGAAATACAACTTATACACTTCTGTTGTATAAAGCGAGAGAGGCAAGCAGAGGGAGAGCGGCGAGTGAGAGTTTTGGGAGAGAGGCGACTGGCAAACATTGACAAACGTTTGCTATGAGGCACAATTAAATCAAACAATAACTACTCCATTTATTTTATATTATTAATTTGCTATTATATACAATTATCCCTTTTTTGAATTCATCATATGTAAGGAACTTTTAAAGTTGGTCCAGCAGGCCCATCTAGGTGTCGCATCCCTTCCCCTTTAGAAAACCTAGGCCGAGACACGATAAAGATGGCCCAATCTGATTTGAAGACATATTAGAAGATGGTGCCCTTTTCGTTGGGATTAATTACAAAAATCTCACCTATTAATTTACTATCATTATTCATAATAAATTTTACAAATTTCCAAATGCCTTATTTTCGCATATCCCATTAGTGTATCTCACACATCAAGTTAATGTATCTCGCTTATCACATTAGTATATCTCCCGCATCACATTAGTATATCATGTATAAAAATGTATCTCGCGCATCAAATTAGTGTATCATGTATAAAATGTAATGTATCTTACTTAACGATTTGATGTATCTGGCGCATATATTAGAAGTCATGTTGTATAAAATGTACATCAGATTAGTGTATCATGTATAAAAAACATACCGACTAGCTAATTTTACACTAATGGCTATAAATTATTACAAATGCTATTCTAATTCAAACTCTGGCTACCAAGACTTTGGGTATATGAGAAGAAGTTGCTGGCAACGTTAATTAAGTATACCAACCTTTTAAGATTATATAATCCTCCTTCCATCAAGCAACAACTAAATCGATTGAAGCATGTTTGATTCACCTAAAAATGAGTAACATACTTAAATTCTTGTTCATTTTGAAACTAGTGAAGACAGGAGTAGCATACTATTTAGAAAAACAGCAGAGAACTCGAAGTTCAAGTTCCCTAAACTTGGGGTAGCTCCTTCAACCAAATACATGAAGAAAAACAGTCATTCTATGGTTTCAAATGATCTGATGAAGAGGAATTACAAACAACTAAACTTTCAACACGAAAATCACAAGAATGTAAAGAAACGAGACCAATGATCACATAGCCATTCACATAATGTGTTTGCTTGGCCAACACATCTCGACCACTCTATAGTTTTGAACAAATTGAAACAAAATTCAAGGCATTATGCATGCAATGTAGTGCCAAAAGGACCAAAGTCCTAAAAGCAACAAGAAAAACAGAGTTACTGATGATGACTCCAAACATTCTTCAGAAAGAGAAGTACCTGGAATGGCACACAATAAGACAGCAGCATTCTGTCAATGAGACAAAAATGTGTAGAAAGATTAATCTGATTTCATTCATCAACCAACATCATATGAGGAGTAAAGTTGGTTTCCATGGTTAAAACAACGCATGGCCATTTCACACATGACTTGAGTAAACAGGAAGCTCTCTGAAAATTGTGAATTGTCTCTCCATCTTATTTCTGTGCTGCCACTTGCTAGACAAAAGTATAGTTGGACATCTTTCATGTGCAATACAGAATAGGTAAGCAATTAAATATCAAAAATATACACGATTGTATGTTCAAAACATTACAATGCCCATAACAAGGAAAAATGGAACTGGACGGAGAAGGCCTTAACTCGAAAAAGAAGGAAAGAAAACATACATGACACTACCTCAGACTACAAGTCCCATTACGGTAGCCGCACTTCTTGAAACGAAAATACCAATACTATGACTGCATCACCTTATTTTGTTCAACACATGTGGGTGCCTTGAATGTTTGACACTTCCACATTGGCCTCTCAAGCGGAAAAATGGGATTATTACTTGTAGTACCTTTGTTGATGTTCTCATCGAATGATGATGAACTCTTGGATTTCAAATCCTCTTTAGGGCTTGCTTGATCCCTGAAGCTGCAAATGCTGAGTGGTAACTTTTTCTGCTTAAGCCTTCCTTTCTTTTTCTCAATGCTGCAACTATCATTTACAGAATCCCCAACTTTCTCCTTTGAGATAATTGATTCTCTTTCCTTGTTTTCCATATTTACATTGTCAGCTTTACTAGAGTGTGATGCTTCCCCATTTTCCATTTTTGTGAGGTCAGATTTATTAAATTTTGTGTTTAAATCTACTCTAACAAGGTCTTTATCCGAGATATGCCTATCTGACTCTCTTTCTCTAGTAAAACCATTCCCATTGCTCGTGGAAGGACAGTTTCCTTCCACGGATGTACTTCCAGTCTGAAGCTTAGATTTTTCAGAAGGAGAAGACCTCTTCAGCCTCTTATGTTTTTGATTTCTTGAGTCAGATGTTGAGTTCTTCAAAATTCTTGGAGAGCTATTAATGGCCCTATGCAACGTCCGAGCTAACTCTTCATCTGTTCTACAATCATCAGTCCCCTTATTCTTATTATACAGCGTCTGAACAGGAACATGTTTTTTCATCTTATTCCTCTTCAAATGTTTGTCCCTACTGGTTCCCTCATCAGAGAGAGTGGCAACCAATTCTAGAGCGCTCTTAGCAGCAGCCACAGCCTTTGCTGCTTTCGCAGCCTTCTCTTCTGCAATGGCTCTTGCAGCTTTTGCAGCCTTCACAGCTTCTAGAGCTGCCAATCTTGAGGCCTCAGCAATCTCCTCATTAGATCGATTAGAGTCTCCAAAATGAGACTTCAATAGATTATTAAGACGGATATCAAAATCACACGGGGGACTATTAACAGTTGGTGGGGATGGGGTAGATGAGTAAACATCAGAATTCTGCTTCTTCAATCCAGCAAGAAGCCGCTTACGTGGAGGCAAAAGCACATCGGCATCCAAGTGATTAATATCACATACATTAGCTTCCATCTTTTTCCTACATCTACACACTTTCAAACTACAAAAACAACATTAAAAATCACACCTTTATTAGCACAAAGTTTTATAAAAACAAAACTACCAGCTGACTGCTTGTTATTTCCAAACCCTACATTAGATTCACATACTATTAACCCTAAACTACCAAAAACTCAATCGCTCCATTCAATTCAATCCGAATCAATCAAACAATCCCAAATTCAATCCAAACCCACAAGCAGAGAGCAGAAAAATAAACCAACAGACTAAAAAATGAATCAAATTCAGGTCAGTTCAAGATTTTCCAACCTTCCAATATCAAAAACAGATGATTTGTACGTAATTCACCATAATCCAGGATAATTAGCAGCTGATTCAAGAGAATTATGCAAATCTAAATGAACTTAGCTCCTTAGATAAAAATTTAACATTAAAAAAAGTCCCAATTTTTTATGTGCAATTAAGATGAAACGCCGAGAATTGAACACAATGAGAATCAATGAAGGCTAAATACCTGATCTTGTCATTTTACAGAAGAAGTTGAAATTAGGGTTTTTAGAGAGAGAGAAAAAAAGAGAGAGATGTGAAGAAAGAAAGATGGTGTGTTGAAAAACCAGTTGAAATGAAATGACACAAAATTTTGAAGATCAAATTATTAATTAAATTAATTTTCAGGAAAAAATTTTATTGGCTCTGATCTATTTTAACTATACATTAAACAATTGCTTATCAATCTCTCATTCCGTCCAATTAAATTTAAATACATCATCAAATTTTCATTTCATCCAGTAAAATTTAATTTCGTGTATTATAACTCTTTTAATTATTTTTAGAATTTTTAAAATTCGAATCGAAAATCCGTTACCGAAATTACTATACAAAATATGAATTATATTTTGATAAGAATTAAATGGGATAAGTAAATTGGGCAAGTAATACACTTGTCCTACGTATATTCCTTTGTTATTTTTGTTGAAAAAGGTTATATGTTTTCCATTTAATAGCATGAAATTCTTTACTTTGAAGTGATGAGATCATAATAAAATATTATAAGTATCGTTTTACAACGTAAATTTCATATAATTTTCTCAGCACATATTTTGGGATTGTGAATGGCGATGTATGAAAAGTTTTAAAGAAATTAAGTTCATAATAATAATAATAATAATAATAAAAAGTGATAGAGATTTATCTTGAAATATTGTAATTAAAATTCACATATTTACCTCCATATATATTTTGGGGATGCTTGCTGTAGTTTATAAAAAAAATCACGAAATTAAGTTAATAATAATAATAATAATAAAAAACAATTAAAAAATAAAATAAAGAGCGATGAGGCATATCATGAAATATCGTAATAAATAGAATTTATATGCTTTTCTGTGTATATGTTTTGAGGTTGTTTGTGGTAGTGTACAAAATTTTCTCATGAAATTACGTCCATAATAATAATAATAATAATAATAATAGACAATAATAATAATAATAATAATAATAATAATATTATATAGAGGAGAATTCTAGGCTCGTTTACGTGGCGCCCTCACAAGCAAGAATTTCATTTTAAATTTATTTATTTTCAAAACTAGCCCTTTTCTTTATTGAAAAGATGTGACTTTTATGAAAAATTGTGACATTACGAAGACTAGTGACTTTTATCAAAAAATTTTAACAAAACTAGCACTCCTCTTTCATGAAAAGATGTGAATTTTATGAAAATTTTTGACTTTAATGAAGAATTGAGACTTTTATAAATTGTTGAAATTACTATATAGCCTCTACCCTCTATGCATAAAACGCGTTCAGTGACATCTTTTTATGAGTAAAATTATGTTTTTTTTATAAATTGTTGAAATTGCTATGTTGTTCCTACTCTTTATGCATAAAACGCGTTTATTGATATTTTGACTTTAACGAAGAATTGAGACTTTTATAAATTTGTTGAAATTACTATATAGCCTCTACCCTTTATGCATAAAACGCGTTCAGTGACATCGTTTTATGAGTAAAATTATATTTTTTATAAATTATTGAAATTACTATATTGTCCCTACTCTTTATGCATAAAACACGTTTACTGATATCATTTTATAAATAAAATAACGTTTATTCTTATAAATTATTGAAATTACTATATTATTCCTATTTTCATACATAATGCGCTTTCAGTGATAATATTTTATAAGTAAAATTATATTTTTTCTTATATTATTCTTATTCTTTATGCATAAAACGAGTTAAATGAGTTGAAACGTTAAAATAACTGCACTCTACTTGTTAGTAAAATAGAAATTTCCAAAAAAAAAAAAAATTCTTGCGCGTGCAACTTTTTTTTTATTCCGCGTAAAAAAAGACCTATAAAAGTAGGCTACCTTCGCTTAGTTTAGAAAAAAAAAAACTCACCCTCATACCACTGTATTGCCGCCACTCTCCGGTGACGATAGCCGATCAAAACCTAAACCCCAAATCAATTTCCCCGCCGATCATGCACTGCTCTTCCCATTACCGAATTCTTGTAAATTCTTATTTAAGGAAAAAAAAAAGGAAGAGATTGTTGTCTTTTTGAATATTCAAGAATGTTTTCTTTTTCAAAAGAAAATTAGGTTCTTATTTTCGTGGTGTGTGTTAAGGATGTTGAAGAAATTAGTTTTAACTTTTCAGGTCAGTAATGCAGTTCGCACAGGGGATTTGAGTTTTGTTTCAGAAAAACTGTATCTGCAGACAAGATGGTGAAGAGAAACTGAAATTTACTGTTTGATTCCAGGAAACCCTAAATTGATTAATTTTCTCGTTGATGTCAAATTGGTATTCTTCCATGCACTGGTTTTAAAGAAAATATTCAAGAAACTGTTGTCTAAGTTACATTGGTATTCATAGGAAATTGTTGTTTTCAAGAATATATTGGTATAGAACTTCAAGAAATCTTTTCTTTTTTAAGAAAATCAAAGAATTATGTTGTCAAAAAAGCATGTTTACAGAACGACAAATGTTTGTAACTTGGAATTTATGACTGTTGACAAGAACTGCTGTTTGCTAACAAGGACTGCTGTTTGCTAACAAGGATTTGTTGGGATTTTTCTTTTTGCAGTCATTGTATTTTACAACCAACCAGTCCGAAGGAAGCAAATGCACTCCAAGTACTTATAGTTTTTTCAGAATCAATCAAGTAAAACATGTTGATTTACATACTTTACTTCTAAAGCTATACTCTGATCTGATTGTTCTTTTGGTTTCCATACATAATCTTGAAGTTCAAAGAGGGTTTTGCATTCTCCGAAAGAGTCTCTGCTAAGAATCACCCTTTCACATCCCAGTGTCTTCTTCAAGTTGTTTATATTGAAAGGTCTTTGATAAACTAGCTAGTATAAGGATATGTCCTGTCTGTTTTCTTGATTTGTAATTAGCATGCAATGAGGACCTGCTTTGCGCGCGTGCTTCTGCTTCCTCTTGGGCTGTTGTCAAGCGGGTTTGGGGTTCATCTGAGTTCCCTTAACAAATTGAATGCAAGAGTTGGTCCATTCAAGCTGTAAGGATACATCTCAGGTCTTGATGTTTACACAATAAAGGTATAAGGGTAAACTACTTGCTGGCTGTTGCCAAATATGCCCGTGAAAACAGGATACCTTACCTGGGCATATGTCTAGGAATGCAAATTGCTGCTATAGAGTAAGCTGGATCGTTTCTTGGGTTGCTAGGTGCGAACAGTTCAGAGTTTGATCCCAACACTCATGTGTAATTTTCATGCCAGAACTTAAGTATCCCCTTCATCATGAATTTCCCTCATGATCTTCATGTGTTTTAGGTCTTATTTCAGAAGCATATATTTGTCTGTAGATCACGTTCACAGGGTTCAGAAACACATATGGGTGGTACCATACGTCTTGGATCAAGAAGAATGTACTTCCAAGTTAAAGATTCTAAATCTGCAAAACTGTAGTACTTCCTTTCCTCCAACCTCATTGCATTGGCTGTATCACTGTGTGTGAAGGTAATGATTGTCTAAAAAAGCCATTGACTTGTTATTTCAACTTGGAGTCAGTAACAATGAAATCCCACAAGTACTTGGAGTCTCTAACTTATTTAATTATCAGGTCTTATCTGGACTAATGAGGACAACTAGCTATCTTGATTCCAAGCAAGAATTGGTATGTTGAGTTTGATGATAGGTAACATTGAATTTGAATCTTTTGGGGCTCTTATATTAAGTAACATTGATTTTGAGTCTTTGACTATGCTTTTGCAGGTCATGCCTGAAATTGGCTACCAATTACTACACAACTGTACTGACCAAATTCAGAACTGGGTTTGGATCTGCAACATTCATTCACAGGCTTCAAGATCATTTACCAGGTAAGTTGCTATCTTTGTCTGGATTTTTATTACACAACCAGTTTGTGGAACTTAGTGAAATTGCCATTCACCAGAATCCATTGCACTAAATTTTGCAAAATTCATTTAAGTTGTTCCTAACTCTGAGCATGAAGTAATATGTTTTGGTTAAAGCAGGAACTTAAATCTTATTCACAAGAAACCTACATTTGTCACACTTCTTGAGGTAATATTCTCTACTAGTCTGTGTCATATTATTTATTCAAATGGAGGTACATGCAAACCATTTGCAAATCAGTCTTAAAAGGTAAAAGGTATTATAGTACTCCCTCCGTTTCAAAAAGGATGGCCTAGTTTGACTTGGAACGGAGTTTAAGAAAAGAAAGAAACTTTTTAATCTTGTGGTTCTAAATTAAAGTTATGTCAAATGTACCAAAATGTGGTCCTTTAATCTTGTTGTCTTAAACATTGCCATGTGAAAAGTTAAAGTGTTTCCAAAAAAGGAAAGGGGTCATTCTTTTTGAAATAAACTAAAAAGGAAATAGGGTCATTCTTTTTGAAACGGAGGGAGTATTGATTGTAGTTGTTAATGAAGGATTCAGGAACTCATGTTCACTATTAGGAAATAAGAATTGGGATTACGAATTATTGGGGATAAAGCTACGCTGAGGTAGTATAAATACACAAGGGTTGGGATAGATTGCTCACCTATATTCTCAAACCTCTTACTACTCTTCTTAGGTTTATTCACTTCAAATGTTGCTCCCTCTTGTAAGATATATGCCTGTCTCTGGAAAACGAAGCATGACAAACACCCTCGCTCTTGTAGGATATATGCCTGTTTCTGGAAAATGAAGCATGACAAACACTTCTTCTCAGGCTAGTTATTACATCCTGAGGTATCAATAGCACAATTATCAGTTCTGTGCTCCTTCCTGTTGAAAGCATGAAGGATTTTCAAGGGTTTAGGCCTTTCATGTGTCATTGCGCATGCTCTCTTTAGGTGCATTTTATGTTTTAATTGAGATAATTATAGAAAATGAATTACTAATAGTAACTTCTAAGGGAAGAGCTTTTCTTTTTCTAGTGCCATCAGTTACAAGATTCTCTTGCAGGTGTTCCATAAGAAAATAGTTGGTGCTTAGGTAACTTTTAGACCAGCTTTCGGAAACAGTATATGTGCCTGTTTCTTTCATCTTTCGTTATATTTCCTTTTGTCTGGACATTCGAACTATGGTGTTCCCTTCTTCTGTTGAATATACAGAAGCAATCCCCCTTTTTCTCCTTTTCGTATGGCTCCTCAAAAACTTCTCCAAGTGACTTAAAAAGCAAACTTTCTCAGGCAGCTAGTCTCTTTGCCTTGGTGGATAGTGCTGAGTTCAAATGATGCCATACAGCAGTCATTATGGAGCTTGCTTTGTTTCCTCAGGGCCCTCAAAAAAACACGGGCAACTACTTTATCATGGGAAAGAAGGAATCATTCCTTCAATGACAGTCAACTTCACTAGAACCATGGACCGGGAGTGAGGTCATTTCTGCTATTGTAAGTATTAATCTCTCTGATATTGTCCTAATGCATTTTGATGTGCGGAAAGTTCTGCTCAATTTATTATTTTACTTCATCATGTGAAGTTGTACTTTCTTTTGAAGGATCTGGTTCTCACGAGATGGACTGGTGCTGATGGGAGAAAGATATGGTAATCTTTTTGCAAAATGCTGGACTGACATCATATTTTCTATTGTATTGATGCTGCTGTACATAAGATCTTTTCCTGATAGCTAGGATTTTCATAACTTGGAATTGTTGTTGTAGTCTATAGGATTGCAAGCATTACTCAACTGATAGGCTGTTTGATGATTCGTGAATTGCATTTCTCAACTTATAGGCTTCCTCTTTGTCTGGCCATTTTAACTATGGTTTCGTATGATTGCTTTACACTAGCTACATTAAAATACGACTATTAAAATGAATGGCATGCTTTCCCAGCAAGTTTTGGCTTTAAAGGAGAGGCTCTGAGCTCTATTTCTGATGTTTGTTTGTTGTAAATTGTTACTAAAACTTACGGGAAGCCAAATGGATATTGTAAGTTCCAAAGGTAAATTTCTGTAGAGTTTTAGTTGGTAGCATCCATTAGGATAGGTATAAAACTACTAACTTGGTCTTTCTTCTAGGCATTGTTTACAGGACGGCAAGTGCTTGTACTTTGGAATTGATAATTGTAGGCAAAATGTTTGTACAACAGATAATTCTACATAAGCTTACCTGATACAAGAGTTGACCGTTGTTTGCTAATAAGGGAATTTCTTGGGATTTTTCTCTTTGCAATCATCGTTCGTGATGTATTTTAAACCAATCAGTTCGAATGAAGAAAATGCACTCTAAGTACTTCTAGTTTTCTCACAATTGAAACAAATAAAAAATAGTGGTTTACATACGTAACTTTCTGATTGATCTTTTGGTTTGCATATATAATCTGGAAACCCAAGGAGTGTCTTGCATTATCTGTAAGTGTCTTGTCTGAGAACCACCTTTGTGCATCTCAGTGTCTCGTTCTAAAATCTTTGATATTGTAAGGTCCGTCTTTATTAATACCGGCTAATTTTTGTAAGGATATGTCTTGTCTGGTTTCTTAGATTTTGGTCGTTTGTGTGCAGTGATGATGACCTACTTTGTGTACATGCTTCTCCTTCTCCGTTGTCGCTATTGCCCAGTGGTTTTCGGATTCATTTGAGTAACCTCAACAAATTAAATGCAAGTGATGGTTCATTCAAACTCTCAGGATACATCTCACTTCAGATTTGGAGGTTGGAAGCACAACTTTTGACCTATTAAATATGCCAACACTGTTGATCTTTGACATTATTCTAGAGACTCAAGGTTTAAGGATAGTTTTTCATGTATCCTTTGTTTCAAAAGGCATCACCTCCTTTAGGTTAGAGTTTATTGACACCTCCTTTAGGTTAGTGTTTACTGAGTTAGTATCTTTTTTCTTTGAAAAATAAAAGAGGGAACTATATTAATGACTTTGATCTTAGAGGAAGTAACTTAGTTTGAACATTTAACACTACTTTAATGTTCTAACAGGGTTAACAAATACTGGAAATCATTAAGTAGAATGAGAGGATTAGGAAAAGCTAGAATAGGTTCTGAAGAAGTGACAAAAAGTCTTCTTTTATCTTTGATGAGTGGAGGAAGTTTCCTCCTCATCTATTGCTATCCCATTCCCTGCTCCTCTTTACCGGTATACCTGTGAACTATGAGATCAAGAAAAAGAGGTGCAGGGCCCAGAGTTTCAAAGCTACTCTTGAGCTTCCTTCTCCTGCAGCCAAAGAAACTGACTGGAGAGTGCTTGTCAGGAGGGAGATTCGATGTTTGCAGTCTTAGTATTCATCAAGGCATTAGAGATTACAATGTCTTTTTTCTAAGTGTCATAGTCTCACTCGAATTCCATCTTGCTTATGTTCTCATCCTGTGATAGAACTGTCATGCCTTCTATTTTCATTCAAATTTTCAGAATTTGCACCAACAAAAACTTAGTATCTTAGATTCTGATCTTGACGTCTTGCATTTTGGTTGGTGATTCTTTGGTTCCTGATACCATTGATAAAAAACTGCTTGGAGGGTGCCAAAGTTCTCCAGCAGGTTGATAAAAATTTTATTCCGATTGTGGCAGGCATGCCACTTGCTATAATTGATCAGGTCTATTCTGGCCTTTGCATAGTCCATTATGCCTGTTCTTGGTTTCTCGTAAATTTCCTTATAATGCGTTTACTTTAAATAATTGTTTTATCTTTAGGGATTGTTTTTTGTTGGACTCAGTAGCAAACATAAAAACTCAGCATAAACTTCCACATAAATAGTATAATATTTGTTGGCTGCGTAAGTCATAGTAATAACTGCATAACTATGTATCATTCAGTTATACGCATAAGAAAATATAAGCTCGACAGGACATATGCAGCGTCTGGTTGGTGGTATTAACTTTCATTATTAATATCCTTGTGACTTATGTGAGAATCTATATGTTATTTACGTGGGATGGAATATGGAATAAGAAAACACATGCCAACAATGCACGGATGAGTATTTACAGGCAAAAATTCCCTTTATAGTAGATAATCCCCGCATAGCATATCTTATTTACTATTCACTGCGCTAAAATCCCTTCATCATCAGTTACTGCATAACAATTTTTACATTATTATCACTGCATAAACATTCCCTCTATGATTCTTACTTAACCAAATAATTTCTTAACTCTTTTGTATTGCTGTTTTGTGATATTACTGAAGAAAAGGATTATGATCTTTTGTTTGATTCTACCATTTATCTTCGCTGAGCATTACACCCATTATCATGTTCTACAGCATGATGCAGATGAGCGAATTCGAACTGTATGAAAAGGTAATGATTGTCTAAAAACTCATTGATGTGTCATATCAACATGGAATCTTTTAAGTGAATTATTAGGTCCTATCTGGACAAAAGAGGACAACAACCTATCTTGATTCCTAGCAAGAAATGGTACGTTTATGGTCATCTAATGTGAAATAGATTTGCCCTGTGCTGCTGTTGGCTATAAGGGAAAGACTTGAAACTCTTTTTCCTCGGCCTTTGACATGCCTTTGCAGGTCATACCTGAAACTAATTACCAATTACTACACAACTATGCTGACCAAATTTTAAAACTGGGGTTGGATCTGCAACATTCATTCTCAAGCCTCAAGATCATTTACTAGGTAAGTTACGGATCTTTGTTTAAATTTTCATCAGAACCAATCTATGGAGCTTTTGATAAAAATTGCCATTTACCTGAAATCCTATTCCACTAAATTTTGCAGCATTCATTGAAGTTGAACCTAACTCTAGCATGAACTGAAAAGTAACGGTGACAGCCAATTCAAAAGTAAACACACTACTAGCTAAACAAATTGAGGCTGTGACACTGAGGTCAGTTGAAGTTAATTATTCTTAATATAATATATAGCAAGTGTTAAATGCTTAAACTGCCTATTACTGTTGTTCTTTCATTAACTACACACACTATTATCCTGTATTATGTATAAGTCCTTTGTTTTTGACAAGATTGGAAAATCTTGAACTGACCTGAATTTGATTGATTTTTTTTCGTCTGTTGGGTAATTTTTTTGCTTTCTGCTTGTGGGTTTAAACCTTGATGCTCTCTCGCCTCCACCAACCCCCACATAAGCAAAAGAGAAGGAACAAGGTATTTTTCTTTCCTCCTGGTGTCTTTGTTTTCATTTGTATTGGAACGATAAATCTGATATGGATAGAGTAAGAACAAATACAGAGGAATGAGGATCAGTATAGCAGGCCAACTAATTTTTGTGTGAAGCATAATTGATGGATTGATTTATTTATCTTCGTAGGTGCATATGTTTGGAGATGCATTGTCGCCTTCAGAGTGTAGCAATAATTCATCACATTGAAATATAATTTGGATCTAGAGCACAATACATCTAATACAGATTCGACAAATAAATGTACTTTACCCGATTACAGATCCAATCGTACCATTTCTGTAAGTTTATCTATTTATACCTACTTAGAGATACGATTAATATTGTCAAACTCAAAATATACACTCCATGGGAAGCACTAAACACTATAGGTAAATCGATATTGAATTTACATTTTATTGACAAAAAGTTGTATTTTTCTTGAATCATTTATTTTCTTCTACTTTTTCTGACTCTGGACCTTCACAATCCCTAAGGTTTGGGTGGAGAGGCACATAGTGGTTGGTCATAATGGGATTATTCTTCTTTCCAACCCAATGTGTCCCTACTATAAATTGTGATTCTCTTAATATAACATTGTTTTTCATGGTAAATGACAACATTATTGCTACTACTCCATATCCTTCTAAGAACCGTATGAGCAAAACTAATTGTTTCATATCATTCTCTTTTGGTCAAAATTGGTTTCCACATTTGTCAAAGATACAAGATATGCTGGATACACATATGACAAAGTTAGATTGGTAACTAAAAGAAATGAATACAAGTTACAAAATTTCGGAATCCTGTGTTACAAAATTTTTATGTCTTGTCATAGGGGACTTCATCATGAGTTAGAAATCCTTTTCCAGGTTTTTGCATCACTAGTGTCAAAGTCGAGGCTGTTCCCTTCTTATGTTGAATATACAAAAAGCAACCCCCCTTTTTTCTCCTTTTCGTATGGCTCCTCGATACTTCTCCAGAGCCGACTTAAAAAAGCAAACTTTCTCAGGTAGCTAAAGTCTCTTGCCTTGGTGGATAATGCTGAGTTCAAATGATACCATAGAGCTTGCTTTGTTTCCTCAGGGCCCTCAAAAGAAGGAATCATTCCTTCAATAACAGTCAACTTCACTAGAACCATGAATCAAGTGAGGCCAATTTCTCTTTCGGAAGTCATTTCCCCATCATGATCATCCAAAACTACTAATGAATGAATCAAATCTTACTAAGAAACTAATACAATCCAAAAAATTAAATCACAAGTGGCACTGATACAGGTGGAGAGTGGGACGTAAGAAGTGAGAAGACTATTCATCCCAACATCACTTACCAACCTTAATTTGTAGCTTGCTCATATCGACATTAACCCTTTCAACACCTGATTCGTTCTTCACCTCTGTTTGCTTAAGATTTTTAAAGTTGAGCCATGGGTGTTGCAAGCACTGCTCAGCAGTTGGTCGTTTTTCTGGCTCAAAATCAAGAAGAGGACTGAGAAATTCCGTGAACTCATGAGCATCACTTTCAGAAAATCTATATTTGTTAACTAGTAATTTATTTAGACAACCATATTTCAGTCTACGGATCCTCTTCAAATCTCCGTGCCTGTCAAAGTAATCTTTCGATCTAGCCCCACCTACGGCTATCTGCTCCAACATAAGTTTTTTTTAAAAATAAATCAATAGCTATTTTCAGAAATAATTCTTCAAGGCTACAAAAACATCATAATGTGCTAACCTTCCGGGGGATCTTTCCTAGAAGCTCCATCATCATAGCTAGATGATCCTGCAACCCACCAAATAATAACAAAATATAGTAAAGCGAAGTTATAAAATAATTCCTCTTCAGGAAGTAAAATCTATAGGACTAGGTTGACTCCTCCTTACACCCAAAAGACCAGACCTCAAATCATACTCCATATCAATAATTCTTCAGATAATTTTTAACTGAGAAACAGTTGCATTATGCAATGGAAGGACAGCTAAACAAAGAAACATAGATCAGGTTACCTCATCTTCGCTGAAACCTTCTCCACCTTTGGGAGTGAACATCATCTCACCAGTAGCAAGCTCAAATGCTATACAAGCCAAAGACCACATGTCAGCAGAGAATGAATATCCAGATTGAAGTATAACTTCAGGGGATCTGTACTGTCTTGTTTGAATTTCTTGTGCAAATTGCTTATCATCCCAGCATGCATTTCCAAAATCCACAATCTTGCACCTTAAGTCTATCCCATCAAGAGATCTATTTGATTTTGGAGTACCTCCTACCACACCCATTGAAGAACGTCTTCCTGATATCCTAGCTGCTGCTCTTCTTGCCCTTTGCTTTAGCTTTTTCTCAATGATATTCATTGTTATTCCTCCATTAGGGTTCCCCTCAGGCCTTTCAAGTATGGGAGTCATTCCAGATCTAATGGGATCTTTTGTGGCATTAATCGTGGAAAGTAAAAGAATATTTTCAGGTTTCAAATCTGTATGAACAATTCCAAGCCCCCCATGCAAATAATCTAAACCAGTCAAGACACATTTGCATATTTCCCTAACTTTGTTCAGTTCAAGGCCCTTATATCGATTATGCTTGATAAGCCGCAATAAGCTATCACCAAGAAATTCAAAAACCATGCATATGTGCTGTCCATTAGGACCTGTGTGCTTAAAATGGTCAATAAGCCGTACAACGTATTTACTGTTAGATTGATCACCATTGGCAATCGCAGAAAGGATTTCAATTTCATGAAAAGCTGCTTGAGCAAATTGTGGTGCACTTTTCTGGATCTTCAAGGCAACAAAACCCTAGGAGAAAACAAACATAGTAATGACATAAGCTCCAAATTTCGAAGTTCTTAAAGATCCTTATGAACTTCCAAACTCATACCCTTATTGTGAGGAAAAGATTACAAGCAATGCACCAATATAAGGGAGAACATAATTCTCATCCCCTTATTGTTAGGAAAAGCATTACAAGCAATGCACCATTATAAAAGACCATGATTCATTAATGGAGAATGGATTCATCTCATACAATTGACAGGTACCTAAAACATTAGTTTTTAAACTGTACATGGTATCATGCTTATTATCATCAAGGACCTAACACTTGTTGATGTGTAACGGCTCTCACATACTTGGAAAGAGGCCATGCATATTCATTGTCATGTCTGTCAAGAACATAGGCAATAATGCTAATTAGAATACTACAATTATTCTTTCATCAAATATGATTTTTCAATGAACCAGAATGACACAGATGCAACAAGCACTTGTTTTGAAAGCAGTAAAATATCATTTGCTGCTGGCTTATTTAAACTAAGATAATGCATTGCTTGAACAGTGACAAACATCTATTTTTTTGTAATAATAGTAATGAGTACAAATAATACAGTTCTTCGCAGCAATTATTTATGATAAAATAGCACTTCGGTAGACGAAAATTGATCGTAATAATTATCTATAAAAAAAAAGTGTAATAATGATAAAATAACAATTCGGTAGACGAAAAATCGAAGAGAAATAGTAACGAAAACAAAACTCACGGATAATTGAGTATCATAAGCGAGCCAAACGGTGGAAAACTCTCCCCAGCCGAGTTTTCGTTGCGCCATATATCGGCCACCGGAAAATGAATCGCCGACTCTCACGGCATGGTAGCCTCCCTTCCGGTAAGAATCGAATCCTTCATCTTCATCCTCAGACGCCGACGACGATGAACAAGACATTGTTAATCACTGAATCAAACAATCGTGATCTGAAAATTCCAAAACTACGTTTTCGAATTTTGTGAGAAAATATCAAAACAAAAATTACAGAGCTCTATAATTTTTTGGGGGAAAAGAAAAGTTTGATAGAGAAGGAGACGGTGCGTTTAATGAGGGAACATATGTGGCCTTCAATACAATACTCGCTCCACTTGCTCCCTCTCTCCTTTTATTTTGGTTAATCTCGTTAATGAAGAGAAATGTGATTTTTAAAATAAAATTTGTTAGAAATAAATTATTTTCTTTTATTCTGAGATATTTTCACCAATGCCTTCGGAGAAATGAATTTCTTTTACGGTAAATTACCGGAAGTTTCCATTTGGTCCATTCTGGACTACTTTGACTATTTTTATGTGGTACGATGTGGACTATTTTGACTTTTTTCTTTAATCTTAAAAAAATTTGATTTAATTTTTGAAAATAAAATTACATATTTTGAAGTATACTGTATAAACGCTCTAAAATAAGTAAGTAACAATAAATATTAAAAAGGACTATTTTGAAATTTGCTATATTGGAAATAGTTTAATAATTGGTGTTGAGGGAGATGGATATGGTGGGGATGGAAAAGGAAGTGGTGCGTCCTGGTTGGTCCTTTGGTTGGGGTTAGGAAGTAATGAATGTGGAGGGTGCGTGGGTTAGAGGGAAGACCCACATGTCAATCCTTGGTAGGGTACTTCCTTCGAAAGAGATTTGGCGTGAATTAAAAATAGTTAAATTTTAATATAAATATTAAATATTGAATAAAAAAAATATATACACGACATGAGAGAAAATACACTTTTACTTAATTATTCTTGGATTCTGCTTTGCAACTCATTTGACGAATATCTGGGTATGATCTAAATTTAAAATAATTTTTTGTGTATAATATTAATAAATTAGCTTTGCTAGAAAAGTTGGTGTAAAACATCGAATGCAAGACGCATGAGAAAATATATTTTGCAGTGAGATGTTAGGCAACGTTAACGAGAGAATGGAGACAAAATCTAAAGATTTGAAGTTAGTCAAGACCAATAATGAATCTTGGAGTATAAGTTTGATCACGTGATCCATGAAGCTAACATGAACATGGTGTACTTGACACATAAGTTACCTCTCTCTAATAGGAAATTTCAAGTATACCTGGGACATAAGTGGAGATATTGATGAAGATGTGATAAATTATATTATGACGGAGTTAACAGAACTCACTGTATCAGTGAGTAAAATATGCAATACAGCTTCCTATGGATAGCTAGCCATTAATGGTGATTAACGAGAATGAGAAGAAGAGAAGAAGAGAGAGTGTTCGTGAATTCACCCAAACAAAACTGCTCTTTCATTCATCAACAATACACTATATACATGTGAGTAAGAACCTTCTAGAAAGGAATCAAAAATGTAACTAACTAAGTAACTAACTAATGTAACTAACTAACAAAATTATTAACACACTATTAAACTACTGTTAACATAGATAAGTGAGATCAGTTGTAATTCTCAATACCCCTCCTCAAGTTGGTGGTAATAATCTTACAGCCAACTTGTTCAAGATTGCAGCATGTTTGATACCATTGAGAGACTTAGTAAAAATGTCTGCCAATTGTTCACTTGTAGGCACATGTTGAATCGAGATGAGCCCCTCCTGCAGCTTGTCTCGTACAAAATGGCAATCCACTTCAATGTGTTTGGTTCTTTCATGAAAAACAGGATTATGTGCTATGTGAATGACAG